AGGGTTTTTAATACAAGGGAGGTTGCATGTACTATCCTGTAATATATATCATGTGACTGAGTGCATGATGGTGTTGTATAATTATTAAGTACGTATGTGTAATATTGTAGTGTGGCCTTGGTACGTAAGCTCGGACGACGTGATTAAATAAAGTCATGCAAACTATATATAGTGTGACGATGATCGATGAATGGTTGTGTAATTATATTTGAGAATAATATATGATAAACTTTTGAGAAATACTTGCTTAAAACATTACTTAGTGAGTGATATATATTTAACGTGATTCGTAATACAAACTATATGGTGATAAAATTTCTAGAAACAAAATTGAAAAAATGTCTAGGTACAATGTATCTTAATCCGTTGAACAAAAGCAATTAACGTATTTGGGGAATCAATTTTAAGTGGAAGAACTTTTAGAATAGAACGTACTACTACTACGAATTAAATTACTAGTACAATCCTGAACTATCACTTGGAAAAGTCAAATAGAGAGAGAAAGAGAAAAGCTATATTGGGAGGGTTAATGTAATGATGTTTCCTAGCCAGATTTTTAGAATAGTCTAATCCCACTTTGTTAACTTTTAATTATTGAAGTTAATGGACACCACTGTTTCTGTATATCATCACGATCTTTTCTAGAATTTTTTCTCACAGCTTCAATATATGTGTCTAGGTTCAATGAATCTGATTAGATTTGAGGATCAATGTTGATTTGCTGATGAGGTCTCTATGTTTTAACTCATTACTCTCTATTTTAAAATAGGGGAAAAAACTGTTGATTTGTATGCTTTGAAATACTAACTAATTAACAATTCTCAAAAGAAAAGAAGCAAAAAAAACACTAATAACTAACACACTTCAAGTTGTGTTTTGTGGTCCAAATGCATATCTTCTTTTTTCGAGTCTGTCTATGGTGGTGCTAACTCTTAAGACATAAATATGAGTTTCATGGAACTAACTCTTTATCATGTTTTTTAATCTTTTTTTTTTTTTTTTTTTTTTCTTTTTTCATAAATCCAATTAATTTTATTTTTTAAGAGAGCAGTTTCTGCTTTTTGGAAGTTATAATGTCTCTATGTGTTAATTTCTCTACAAACAATATGCTGTCGAGTTTTAATTTAAAATTTTATAATTACAACAGTTTTGTGAAACTTCTTTGTCTTTTTTTTAAAAAAAAAGAAAAGAAAATTACAAAAAAATAAGTTTATGACGAGTATAAGAAAATAATAAGTTTATATATAAAAAAACCAAGTTCATGGAGTGGTGATCGATGATTCGGTAAGAGAAAGCATTGGACGAAGTTGGTCAACACCAATCTTCTTAGATTTTTTGTCAAATTATTTGCTTCCCACACGTAACATTATGAATTTTGTCATAAAGTTTAATACCTTCGTCTGTCACTAATCTAAAAACCCAAATAAAGAGAAAAGAGAAATCAATAGTTAGTTATTCCAATATAAGTAGTAGAGACTAGAGAGCTGTCTCAGAGAGTATTATGGACTCTAAAGCCCATATATTATTTGTAGCGTTAGATCATTTAGCGGACTAGACCGATGCTACCATATGGGCTTCAAGTCTTGAATCCAAAACATATAAGTTCCTTTTTTGTTTGGGTCAAAGTCATAATTCTTCTATTCCTTCTTGTGAAATTGACTTATTACTACTTTTGGGTTAAAAATAGTGTATGGTTTTGTTTCCAAATAATTTCATTTTTCGTTTTCAAATAATTAATTTCAAAGATGAATTATTCTCTTTTGATAATATTTAAATATTCAGCAATATTTGACATTTTTTTGTAGAACTATAAGTAATCTTTCTCATTGTTGCTCCTTTTAATCAACCAATTTAAAACGAGTTATAATTTCAATTTTTAAAATCCAAGTATGTATATATTAATGTGATATGATCCAATTTACATAATATGTTGACATATTGATAAAATTTTACAAATAAAAATAAAATAATTCCTAACCGTGCATTTTTTTTTTAAATATAACTATAAATAATAATTAGTGCATAAAATTATTTAAAATTTGCATATACGCTCTAAATTCATAAATAAAAATAATCTGTTAAAGTTTAAAACAATAGTCTTTACAAAATAGGAAAAATAATCCACATGTCAGTATAACACGTCACAGTTAGACACACCCCAAAAAGGCTAGCAGATTAGAAGATAAACACAATGATAAGAATAGAAAAACACAAGAAGCATAGACTAGGAAAGTATATATGTATATTCTTACAAATCAATGAATTAAAAGACAAAAATTAAAGTTTGAGGAAAAAAAGTTAAAATAACATTGACAAAAATGCAAATTAGGAAACAAACGAGATTCCCCTAAATTCTTGTAAGGCCAAATTGTCTTATGAATCAATTTAATCCGATCACAAATACAGGGGCTCCACGTCTTGTGTTTTATGAAATCAGATACGTCCACGTGTCCTACTATCCATCTTGACCGCATATTGTTCATTCTCCTTCGTCAACCTTGACGACTTTTGAGTTTTCTCTCTTGCCGTTGAAGCAAGTGAGAGAGCCAAACGGAACCAAATCTCCCTGTTCGATCTCGCCGCGGTGAGTAACAATGAAGTCGGAGACTCTAACGTTAGTTCTAGTGTATCTAGCCGGAATCATGGAGAGAGCCGACGAGTCTCTGCTTCCAGGAGTTTATAAAGAGGTAGGTGATGCTCTACACGTGGATCCCACAGCTCTTGGAACACTAACTCTGTTCCGGTCTATTGTTCAGTCTTCTTGTTACCCTTTAGCCGCTTACTTGTCTTCCAGACATAACCGAGCTCACGTCATCGCTCTCGGCGCTTTCCTCTGGGCCACTGCTACTTTCCTTGTCGCCGTCTCCACCACTTTCTTCCAGGTTTGGGCTTCGTTACCTTTTTTTTATTTTTATTATTGCTCTGCTCTAAGTGAGCTGAAATCAGATCTGTTTTATTTTGGAATTTGTTGATCTGGGTAGCATAAAGTCTGGAGCTTGATGGAGTTTGCTTAGGAAATGTTTCAGTTTATGCGATTAGACATTGGTTTGAATGGCTGGACAATGTTGAGTCAATCATAGATCGTTGCTTTTTTGGTTTGATGTTGAGATTGAGATTCATTTGTTTTAATGAGAAGAAGTCATGGATACTTAGACTGTGTAATTGTGCTCTTCAGTGGACTGCTTGAATCATTGCAATGAGTACTTAAGCTCATTGCAGTGACTCCTTTGAATATGAAATTGGAATTTACCCATTTGCCACAAAGGTGGAATCGAATGGATTATAAATTTTGCTATATGTTTGCTGGTGGAAACTAGGTGGCAGTATCAAGAGGCTTGAACGGGATAGGGCTGGCCATTGTGACACCCGCCATTCAGTCATTAGTTGCTGACTCAACTGAAGATAGTAACCGTGGCAGGGCATTTGGATGGCTAGGACTTACTTCAAACATTGGTTCCATACTTGGCAACCTCTGTTCTATCCTCTTAGCTTCCAAATCTTTTAATGGCATTGCTGGCTGGAGAATTGCCTTCCTCTTGGTAGGATTCGTAAGCGTGATAGTCGGTATCTTGGTCCGGCTCTTCGCCAGCGATCCTCATTACACCGACAAGAAAATCACGAAACTTGACAAAGACAAACCTTTCTGGTCAGATATAGGAGAACTGTTGAGAGAAGCGAAGATGGTTATAAAGATTCCGTCTTTCCAAATCTTTGTTGCTCAGGGAGTTTCGGGATCTTTCCCCTGGTCAGCTTTGGCTTTTGCACCATTGTGGCTAGAACTCGTCGGTTTCTCCCACAAAACAACTGCGGTTCTAGTGACTCTCTTCACCGTTTCTTGCTCTATTGGAGGTTTATTTGGAGGATACATGGGAGATGCTCTCGCCAAGAAGTTCCCAAATGCCGGTAGGATAATCCTCTCTCAGATAAGCTCTGGTTCGGCAATTCCTTTAGCTGCGATTTTGCTTATCGGATTACCTGATGATCCTTCCACGGCCTTTAGCCACGGTCTAGTTCTTGTCATCATGGGATTATGCATCTCATGGAACGGTGCAGCTACAAACGGGTAAGTTGAATACATATATATTTCAATCTTCTTGAAATCTTTTGTTTTTCTTTAATCCCGGAAGAATCTTCTTGAAATGGTTTTATACAGTCCGATATTTGCAGAGATTGTTCCAGAGAGAGCGCGGACAAGCATCTACGCCTTAGACAGATCATTCGAATCGATATTAGCTTCTTTTGCTCCTCCTATTGTAGGGATGCTTGCTCAGAACATCTATGGCTATAAACCAATCCCGGAAGGATCCTCAAGCTTGATCAAGATTGCAACAGACAGAGAGAACGCAGCATCGCTGGCTAAAGCGCTCTACACATCAATCGGGATCCCAATGCTGATATGTTGCACAATCTACTCGTTCCTATACTGCACATACCCGAGGGACCGAGACAGAGCGAAAATGCAAGCTTTGATCGAGTCAGAGATGCAGCAACTCAATGAAGAAGAAGAGGATGAGATTGAAGTGAAGTGTTTTGGAGAAGAGGAACAAGATGAGACTTATTTGCTGAAGCAGCATCAGAGTGGGAGTGTCAAATGATGGAGATGATGATATGGGTTACTGACAGTAGGGGTTCCATACTTCAATTATAGGAACATGGGGATATAGTTATGATTTTTGTAAAAGGAAAGCACTTAAGTGGAATATACCGGTACATAGAAAACATTTACAAGAACAGAGTGAAAAGGGACGACAAAAAGAAAAAGAAAAAAAGAACAAGAGTGAAAATGATAAAATTACTGATTTTGTTTTTGTAAGGAAATATATTATATTAATGAGTGATGAATGATAGATATTTCGCTTTCTTAATTTCAATTCATAAAAATTAATGCGGAGTATTAATTTGGTAAAAACATTAGACTTAAAGTGATACCAAACCGGACATAAACCGGGTTCCGACAGAACAAAGAGGCAGGCGCGTCAGTATTATTGGAATTATTTCGATTTTTGGGTTCTGATAATTCACTTTACTCTTCTTTCTCTCCCAAACTTTTATACGCAAGAGAGAAGATCCATCTCTGTCTCTCGTCTTCATCGTTGTTGTCACTTCCAACGTCGGATTAAAGAAGATAAACCAGAATCGATGACCTAAATGCAGCTATACAATTCTTTAATTCATCGTAAAGATCGAAGAAGTTGCAGTAATCTACTGTTTTGTAGGGTTACTTTGCCAATTTCCTAATTCTAGGTATCTTCTTTGTCCTTAGCCTTTTCTCTCAGTCAAAATTTCAGCTACCAAAAAAAGGAAAAAGAGTTTCTCTTTTTGTTCTCTGTAACGTATACGAGACTTGGGGTTTTTTTTTTTTTTTTTTAAATGGGTATCTCAGAGATTCGTGCTTTTATTATAATTTTTTTCAGAATCCTCTACTGGGTCTGGGTTCGTACAGCAAAAGTTAGCTGATTTGAAGTGTTTCAGTACTTAGATCTTACTGTTAATATTATTACCCATCAGTAAGCTCCATTGTTTGATATGTGTTGTCCTCTTGTCACCAAAGATCTAATTGATTTAGAGTAATGTTGTCTTTTAGTTGCGAAATCTAACTTGGTTTTATGCTTCCGGCTCGAGATTGTGAAATATTACAAGATCTTTTTGTCGATTTCAGCTGTCTCTTTGTTTCCCTCTATGATTTTTCAAAAAATTAGGACCACTCGGTTTTTTCGTGTAAGATCCAATTTCGCCTTTCGTTTTCAGAATTTGACTTGGCAATTAGAAACATATTAATTTATTTATTCATTAGATACTCCAATAGTTTTTTTCTCTTTGTTATTCTAATTGAAATTTTTTTTGTTCTTGTTTCATATATTCAGCTAACGATATGTTTTTGGTATTTGATGTTATGTAGATTTATTTGAGTGATAGCAACATCGAAGAAGGGTATACAAGTTTTGTCAATGGATAAAGCTTCTTCACAAGAGTGTCCTTATCCAGGATGTTTCTTCTGTGTAATGAAAGAAGGAAACCCGAGTAAACGAAGATCCTGCATTCTCAAATTCTTTCGAGATCTTCCTTCTCAAGATGATGATGGTCAAGTTCTTCCCATTAGCGGTCTCTGGAACACTGCAATGGCTCATCCTAATGATCCTGAGTTCATTGAGCTTGGAATCTTTGAGTGTATGTCTGCTTTGATATGGAAAGGTCTTAAAAACCGGCGTTGGCTATCTCATGACCAGAACATATACATCCCTTATTACGCGGCTCACATTATCGGGTCTTACACTATGAATATGGAAGAGTTTGCTGAGAGAGCTGTGGAAGCTGGAGTGATTGCTCCACTTGTTGAGCTTTTAAGAGGTAGGCTTACCTGGGTTGAACAGAGAGTGGCGGTTCGTGCTTTAGGGCATTTAGCTACTTATCCTAGTACTTTTCCTGCTGTTTCGAATCATGGAGAGATCCTTGAACTTGCTCTACAACTGGCTATGAGCTCTTTGGAAATAGTTTATTCTCATTTTTACCAGTATCCGGATCGAAGGTTGAGCTACCATTGCGATCTGCTCACACGAGGCATGGGAGGTGTTGAGATGGAGTCAAGAAAAGCTGAGGAATGGGCGAGCCAACTGCAGTGTTGGTCTCTTCAGCTCATTAATTGTTTCGCATTTAAACCCGAGTTTCTTCCCACTCTCTGCAAACCTGAGTTTCTGGTGAATCTTCCGGTTATGTGGGGCGGACTTGTTAATGAGAACTCTCCGGCTGGTATTGGTTTGCTTAGAACAATCTGTCAGCATAAACTTGGCCGTGGACCTGTCTCTGCGTGTCCTGGAATGATTGAGGCGTTGTGTAATATTGCTCGTTCTTCTGATGATTGGCAGTACATGGCCATAGAATGTCTTCTTTGGTTGCTTCAAGATCCCAATACATCTCACAAAGTAATCGACAAAGCGGTGCCTACTCTTGTTGATCTTGCAGAGATCACAAACTTGGGTGATCATAAGAAACTTGGGGATTCCATTGTAAGTGTTCTTCAAGAATGCAGTTCCATGGGTAACCGTTCAAGGGAATTGATAGAAGAGACAGTAAATTCAAGACAAAGACTTAAATGGGAGAAGAGTATGCCCAAAGAGGATCTTCATATCAAACAAGCAGCAGCACTAGTGGTCAAACTCGAAGGAAACTCTCTCTTTTCTTCAGGAGACATCGCGGGTGCAGCAGAGAAGTACTCGGAAGCTTTATCTCTATGTCCAATGAGGTCGAAGAAGGAAAGAGTAGTGTTGTATAGCAATCGAGCTCAGTGCCATCTCTTGTTGCAACAGCCTTTGGTTGCTATAAGCGACGCCACGCGTGCGCTTTGCTTGCACAATCCCGTAAACCGGCATGCTAAGAGTCTTTGGAGAAGAGCTCAGGCTTATGATATGCTAGGTCTAGCTAAAGAGAGTCTGTTAGATGCAATTCTGTTCATAAACGAATGCTCTCAGTCGAATGACCCGGACCTCTCCATGAGACAGAACAAGGTTCCTGATTACGCGGAGAGGTTGGTAAAGAAGCAGATGCGAGCAGCTTGGTTGTTTAAAGAAGCAGCATTGAAGCATGGAGGTGTACATAGGAAAGGCGAGGAGAGAGAAGCGTATGGAAATGAAACGGATGATTCGGAATGGGAAACAGCGAGTGAGAGCGATATTGGAGATGATGGAAGAGATCAACACATGGGACTTGATGATGAGGAGGAAGAGGAAGATGAAGGCCATGGAGAGAAGTGGAAGAACCGGGATAAATCGAGTGAGAAAAATGAGAAAACTTCTGCCAAAGGTGAGATTTTTACCGGTTTACTTGCATGATTATATAATGATCAACTTAGTTTAAATGTTGTTGGTTATAAAATCTATGAATTTGGTTCCAGGTCTGAGGCATGGATACAGCATAAAGCTAGCAGAAGATGAAATCTGAAGCATTGAAACAGAGGATCAAACAAGATTCGTTATAAGAAGTTGAGAAGAAAAGACAAGTCTTTGTCACAACTCACAAGCAAGAAACTTGCTTTTCATGGAACTCGTAAGTTCCTTTCTTTTTTTTTTCCTTTCCTATCTTGATTTAGTTTTGCGTGGTCGTAGAATTTGTGGTAAATTTGATCCATTTGAAGGAGTAAAGAAGAAAGGAACAAATGTTTTGTTTTTTCAGTGATTTTATTTATTTTTATTTTGTGTACGATGTAACTAAGAATTATTCAAGAGACCCATATGTTCCAATTTGTATAAAATTTCATTTTCTCGTGTTGAACAATGATTAGATTTTTTTTTTTTAAATGTGATAGGGAGATTATTGTCTATAGTTTTGTTTGTCAAGTAATTGGGACTTTAGGAGAGTTTCAACATTACAAAATTGTGCTAAGAAAGGTGACTTTCGTGGGAAATGAGTAACGAACGATACGATATTGTAAAGTAGAAGATTTGAAAAATGGAAGATCTGCTGCATTGGAAGACACGAGAGATAAACTTGATTGGTGGAATGAGGATATGTACCAAGTCACTATTTACCTTTTTACGTCAGGTACATTTCAGAAGATATCTTCTAAGTTTAGAAAATGCCATCCTTTGGATAACTCCAACGGATGGATATATAATAAACAGTGGGATATGAAACTGAAAACAATGTTGGCCTTTCATATTATATTAGATAAAAGTTTTGCATATTATGAGAAAACCACTATTGTGGACATATTTGTTTTGGGTTTGTAAGTTTAGTTTCTCATAACGATAAGGGTGACATTTTATGATCGAAACTCAAAATAAAACATCAACTCTGTTTGTTTGTTGAACATATATCTTAATTAGAAGTTTAGAACCTAGAGAATCAAGAAATATATATTTTTAAAAAGGGTTAAATTAATCAAAGATATTAGTAGTATACATAACTTTGGTCAACAATGAATTGTGATAAAAGAGAATAAAAGAGAGCCTTTTTTTCCTGCACATTTTCTTATGTAATCAACGCTATCTTGTTGACTATAATTGATCATGGGATTTGTGGCTACTATAATTATATATTTGTGCAATTATATATTATATACTCTCTTTTGAGTCAAATTCCATACTGATTTTTATACATGCAATCGAATGTATCACTCACTAGTAAAGAATTGTTTTTATTTAGTTTGATTCTGTTGGCTCTATTTTTATTTCAAAACAGCTTTCGGCTATTGGATGTGTCCACTCTTAATGTAATAAAATAATGATCAAGTGTTCAAAATGGCACACCTTGTTTTATTTTTTCACAAATTAATAAAATTCTTTATATAGTGATCCTGCGTATCTATTTAATTATCTCCCAAAACTATGGGCAAGAGTCATTATTTAAATCGACCCTTGGTCGTTTGAGTTGCTCAAGAGTTTAACATTATAAAATAAAAAACCTTCACTAACTTGATTAGAATGTTTAATTTAAGCATAAAGTGGAAATCTAGTGTAAACTTTCCTCGAACATTCCCCATACATGCTTTCTATAAATAGTGAGAATTTGTTCATGCACAACATATTCATCACATAGGCCTTCGTTTCCCTAAAATTCGATACTTGGTATTAATTACCTCGGTAAAAAATAAATAATTTCTTGGTTCGATTCGAAAATTTCAAGAAAATGGGTAACGGTGAAAACATTCGTTCTCTAAAACTCGAAGTGAAAGTGGTGGAAGCGAGAAACGTAGAGCTCAAGTCATCACCAACCGCTCTCTTCGTTAGGTTCTATCTCCATGCAGGAAATAACAGTAAGATAGAACTAAACACTGCAGAGATCCGTACGAGATCAGACCAAAAGGTCATGAACTGGAACCAATTGTTCGGTCTGGAGTGCCAAGGGAAAGAAGCCGCGGTTGAAGAACTGAAGCAGCAAACCGTTGTTTTCGAACTGCGGAGAAGAAAAAGCACGTCGTTTTTGAGGAAGTGGTCGAAATCGGAGCTGGTCGGTAGAGGAGAGATTTCTTGGAAATCGGTTATAGAGTCAGATGGGATGGAGATAGAGAGATTTGTAGTGATGGGTGAGACGAAAGATCGGGTTTCGGAAGATTGTGATAAGCCTCTTTTATTGAAGATAGCTTTAAAAGTGCAAGCCTCAAAATTGGTGAATACTACTAAGAGAGTGGAAGATCTTTGTGAGTGTAGAGAGTGTAGGAGAATATGTAATTGTTTAGATTATGAGGCTTTTGTTGTGGCTTGTGCGGTTGCTGGAATTTAGTTTGTACGGTAAAATAATTAATCAAGATCTATTGTAAAGAAACCAGAATGAGTTGATGCGATAAAACGAGAAAACTAATTAGGATCAAAGTTCAAGAAAATGAAAAAAAAACAAAAAAACACAATCACAACTGGATTTATAGAAGACAATGAAACGGTGATGTTGTTTCAAGCATGGCCATGCCCGAGAAGAGAGAGAAGCATGTCCTTGTAGTCACCAGAAGTGTCATTAGCAATGGCTCGATCAAGAGGTACGCTGTTCCTGCGTAAGTATTCTTCTTTGATCCTCTCCATGTCGACCTCAGCTCGTGTAGTGACCACTCTAGTAAGTGCCCACTCATCTGTTCCCATCTTGATGATGGCTCGACGTAGAACCTTCTCAAAGTATTTCTCTGGATATGTCAAGCATTTGATCGCGGTTTTGAGAAGTTGAACATATTGGTCGTTCGAATCTTCCTTCAGAAACTTGCTAATGGAACTTCCGAACTTGTCCTTGAAGTGATTGAGCGTTGCGTTGATTTGAGCTTTGCTCCTTGTTGTCAAGATCCTGATGAGATCCTCATCAGTGTAAGCCTTCTCAGTTATCTTCTTGTGAAGTGTCTTAGCTTCGGATCTAGCGAGCTTCACATTGACCTCGTCAGCATTTCCATCGTACCTGAAGGTGCTAACGAGAGGAACCAATAGCTGCATTTTCACAAGTGGTCAAAACAAAACAACAAACTTGTGATTAGAAACTTGCTCTTCAATCTTGAAGATAAATATCCATAAACTTTTTTTAGTACCTTTCGAACATCTCCAGATGTGTGGTATGCAACATCCTCCTCGAGAGATGTCTTGTAGCGAGCTTCGTATGATTGCTTGGCCTTGAAAAAATCAAGCGCTGGTCGAGTACACGCGATTTCAACTAGAACCCAAATGTTCTTGGTGAACATTTGGGTAGATTCCTTGGCCAAATACGCATCTCTCTCCGCTGGTTCAAGAGTCCACAACATCACAGCTCTCTGTTCGCAATCAAAGTAACAAAACATAGTATATATACTCAAACCATAATAATTAGATGAAGATACAAAAATATTGTTTCCTTTGACAAACCTCAAAGTCACCGGAAAGCTCTTTGTCCAATTCCTTGAGAAGATCCTTATTGTAGTTAGCAGCATAAACAGCGCGGATGAAGCTGCGTTGCATTGCATCTCTGTGAGCCAAGATTGATATGATCATCCCTTCGTTGGTTCCCCATCCTACGCCACACACAAAAACAAATTTCGAACCGAAGTTTAATCAGCAACGTAACTAAACTGATCAATTAAACTAATCCAAAATTTAGAATTCACTTGTAAAAAAAAGTATAAACTCACAAGAAAACATTTGTTCGCTAGTATATATAAAATCTTTAAACATTATTAGGAAGAACAGGTTACACTGTTCTAATTAATAGAGTTGTTTAATCGTCGGTTACAAACCAAACGGTCAGAAAACGCTTCAACAAAAATCAGTAAAATATTAAAAAATAACATGTCACAATTTTGCATCGTAAACAAAAGAATCATGCAACGGAGTTTTGTAATCGCAAAGTCGTGATATATGTTGATCAGTTGAAAAAAGAGAGCAAACTTATTATCCAATTTATAATCATCAGCCAAAACAGCTAGCTAGATCAGAAGATCAGACTAGTCGTCACATGACAGATTGAACTACTAATAATCAAAATGCTAATGATTCAATCGAAGCATGAAGGTGATCACAGGGACTAGTTTTAACGTTTAACTAATACTTGATCAATCGGATAGTGAAGGGAAAGAGATGAAAATTAACCTTTAAAGGCCTTGTGGAGCTGCTCGGCGTCTTCTTCAGGAAGAGGAATAGTCGCAGGAATTCTGAGAGATGCCATTCTCCAACCACTCAGTATCTCTCTCTCTCTCTTTTTTTTTTATATATATATATTTTGTTTGCTGCCTAAATAAGATGAAGAAACTGTGAGACGAGGAAGTTGCACACTGTCTCTTTTAAATAATGAAACGAAATCCCAAAATTTTTAAAACTATTAATTACTTTTGTTTTAAAAAAGACAAAGCATTTAAGTAAATTAGCAAAAGGGGGAAAGTTTATTATTACAATTACAGGCTGTTTACACTGTATATAAATGAAAAAAACAAGTATCATGTTTTGCAAGTTTTGTCATAAAGCTGAATATTAAATGGACTATTAAACAACTTAGATATAGGATTAAATAGGTAAGAGAAAATTGGAAATAAAAGGTTTTTTTTTTTTTTTTTTGTCTATCTATACTTTATCTAGTTATAATTGGTGATATATGTTTTATTAGTAATAATTAACAATCTAAATGCATTTAATTATTAATTTAAAGAAAACGAAATTACAAAACTAAGGAAAATAAAACAGAGTCTAAGTGTATGATTGCCAATATATACTGTCACTCTCACAAAATGTTTTGAGTAAATTAATTTATAAATACGCAAATGATGATTTATGATAAAGTTTTAGCTTTAATTTTTATAGAGTAAATAAAATTTTAAAGTCTCAATTGTTGTGTTTATTTGATAAGAGAGAACAGAACTGAAACGAAAATGAAAACATTCATAAATAACTCAACATGACCACGTTGCAAAACCAATCACAACTGTTTTATTAAACACAAAGCGATAAGATAAAGTTTATTTTATTAGAAAAGGACTTGCAAATGTTGTATATATCAAGCATGGTCATGTCCGAGAAGAGCGAGAAGTATATCCTCATAGTCGCCATGAGTGTCTTTAGCAATGGCTCGATCAAGAGGAACACTGTTTCTGCGTAAATATTCCTCTTTGATCCTCTCCATGTCGACCTCTGCTCTTGTAGTGACCACTCTCGTAAGTCCCCACTCGTCTGTTCCCAGCTTGTTGATGGCTTGACGTAGAACTTTCTCAAAATACTTCTCTGGATATGTAAAGCATTTGATCACGGCTTTGAGTAACTGAACGTATTCGTTTCCCGAATACTCCTTTAGAAATTTGGTAATGGAAGTTCCGAAACTGTTGTTGAAGTGATTGAGAGTTGCCCCGATTTGGGCTTTGCTCCTTGTTGTCAAGATTCTGATGAGATCGTCATCAGCATAAGCCTTCTCCTCGATCTTCTTGTGAAGTATCTTAGCCTCGGACCTAGCTAGAGTCATGTTCACTTCATCTCCATCGTATCTAAAGGTGCTCACAAGAGGTAGCAAGAGCTGCATAAACCAAAAAATATGTTACAAAACTTACATAGTATATGAACTCATGAGTTTGTTAGCTAGGTAGGATTAGGAATCTTACATCAATAAGCTATGTAAGAATTCTTATAGTATATAAAAGATATGAACTATATATTATATGTCGATCATCTTTATTGGATTTAAGATGGAAAGCTTATCAACATTCACATATTTACTTATATAAGTACCGGTACCTTACGAATGTCTCCAGATGTGTGGTATGCGACATCTTCCTCCAGAGAGGTCTTGTAACGGGATTGGTAAGCTTGCTTGGCACTGAGAAACTCAAGAGCAGATCTAGTACAAGCGATCTCGACAAGAACCCAGTTGTCCTTAGTGAACATTTTGGTAGATTCTTTAGCCAAATAAGCATCTCTCTCCGCTGGACCAAAAGTCCACAACATCACAGCTCGCTGTTGTGTTTTACAAAGAAAGAGATATTTTAACAGATCAGTATATAGTTACTCAAACCAAAAAAAAAACAAGGAAAAAGAGATAAAAAGATGTTGTCTGTAATTTTTAAGAAAACCTCGAAGTCACCGGAAAGCTCTTTGTCTAATTCCTTGAGAAGATCTTTGTTGTAGTTAGCAGCATAAACATCACGAATGAAACTGCGTTGCGTTGCATTTCTGTGAGCCAGGATTGATATGATCATCCCCTCGTTGGTTCCCCATCCTACTTTGGAGCAACACAATTAAATCAAAGAAAAAAAAAACGAGTCAGAATCAGGTTTGAAATTATTCAATATCAAATATTAGATTGAAAGAAATATATACAATTAGAAAATAGTACAAATTTATCTCGTTTCATCAAAATATATATTGTCAACATATTAGCTAGGGTTGGAGCAGATGATCGCTTTAAGATCTGAAGGTCTGGTAAACCCTAATAGAATATTTTTTGATGCTTAGAGTAATTTAAACCAAAATTTAATCTCGGTTTTTGGGAACAAAAGAAAATGACTTCTCTTCCTTAAAAAAAGAGCTTATCATAATGCATTCGTTGCAAACTAATAAGTCAAAAAGAGCTTATCATAATGCATTCGTTGCAAACTAAGTCCATACTACATCTATGTAGGTCTAAATAACCAAACGACTAATGGATAGATAAAGGGAGAGGAATTAGACCTTTAAAGGCTTTGTGGAGTTGCTCAGCGTCTTCTTCAGGAAGAGGAACATTGGCGGGAACTTCGAGAGACGCCATGAGTTTATTTTTTTTTTTTGTTTTCTGCTGGTCTGGATTTTGATGTAAGGTTGTCTCACTTATATAATGAAAGGGAGCTTGAAGGAAAGGTTTGTATGATACTTTATTTTGGTAAATGACTTGGCAATTTAAGTAAATTAATAAAAAGGAAAAACAAAATCAATATAATGAATGGAAAAGGTGGGAAATTAATTAAAATAAGGTTGAATAGTAATTAAAATTGTTAAGTATCAAAGCATATCTATTTTGGCAAGATAAGTAAATCAATTAAAAATTGAAAAAAAATCTAGATAAGCTGGCAGAAAATGAATTTAATTAATTGCAAATAAAGTTGAATAGTTTTAAGTTGAATAGATTTTTTTTTTTTTTTTTTTTGTGGGACAAAAGTTGAATAGATTTAAAGTGAAGTATTTCTTATATATAGAGTACTGGGTCAGAAACTTATGTTTTAGATTGTGAATTGTGAATGACTTGTACGTAGTTATAATTATCACACATACTTGTTATTTTGTATGTGATAATTATATATTTAAAGGAAAATTCTAAAGACAAAAAAAAAATTAAAAAAAATTGCATGGCTTATGTCATTTTATTCTTGTTTAACTCCAAGAAATAGCCGCAGGGATTCACGTGGTTGGTGCTAAACTAAATGCGTTAAAGGAGCAGTTATTTTCTTGGCAACCAACTACTGAAACTCGACAAATAAAACGAAACGTAGTTTGTTCAAAAAAAAAAAAAAAAAAAAAAACGAAACGTAACGTAACGTCAATTATATATTTAAATTCTAAAGCCTTTTATTTTCTTATTAAAATCATGCATACTTAAAGAGGCTTTTTTGTTTTTGTAAAGAAGCTTTATCATCATCAAAACTCAAAAGTAAAAAAAAAACGTACGTGCTCTACAAAATTTAAACACTGCGACTCTGCTGGGGATCGAACCCAGAATCTCTGGTTTCGTAGACCAGCGCCTTATCCATTGGGCCACAGAGTCCTTTTGTTAGTTCTTTCATACTAATATTTATAATCATTTAAACACCTTCCTTTGAATAAAGAATATCGTAACGAGTCGGACCAAGTCCGTCCAGTGTTAATTATATTATGATTCGAACCAAAAACAACCAAATTGCTCAGCCCGTCTATAGTTTTGAATCTATGGCAGAAGAACTTTGCAATTTATAAAAAAAAAAGGAAGAAAAAACACTCGGATTCATGGCAACAACGATAATAATCTTGAAGTGTGATCAAGTTCATGGATTGTGTAATAACACTAATAAAAACATAAATTCACCAGCAACTTATTATTACTTAGGTAGGTAGACATCCACGGAAACTCACAATTCAGGGCCAACTCAACTCAGTTTCCGTGGAGTCTATAGCAAGAAAAAACACAATAAGGAAAGAAAACGATTTGCCTATTTAGTCATCGATCCTACAAATGAGGATAACTCGTGCGCGATTTCAACCGTTAGCTTAAAACCTTGCTTATCCTCAAACAATCTCTGCAGTCTTCTCTCCTAGTTTCTGCAGCTTCTCAGGACGAGGATCGTCGGTTTTATCACCCTCGTAAGCTGCAACATGGACTCCAAGAGCCGCACGACCTGATGGGTCAAGATTCTGTGACCAGGCTGCGTCCCATTCTACAGCTTTTGCTGTACTACATGCCACACTTGGACCTCCCGGTACAGTCGCTCTAGCTGCACTCTGCTCATTTGTATAATCCGAAAAAACAAATCAGAGCAAAGCTTAAGACAATTAAGGGGTCAAAGTAGTTATGCAGATGAAATCATTACCTTAGGGTAGAACTTTTCAAAGATGGTTCGGTAGTAGTATGCTTCTTTTGTCATGGGAGTGTTATCAGGGAAGACAAAGCTCGCGTTCGTCAGCATTGTGTCAGAGACCTTATCAAGAGAGATATGTAAGCATCACATTATCAAAATGTGACTTTAGATTCTTTTGTATGAACTAAAAGAGACATCTAATTACATGTTTATTTGCATGATCTTTCAGACCATCAATCCAGCTGTATCCTACTCCATCACTGAACTGTTCTTTCTGCCTGTATAAAATGTGCTACATTTAACAAAAAGATGAGAAGTTAATAGCGAAGCTAGATAATTTAGTCAGATTGCAGGAAGCAAAAAGTTGTTGCTATAAACCTTTGGGAGATAAGGGTTTTCCTCATCATCAAAGGCATTGCGTAACACCCATTTCTCGATCCTTCCAAGATCAGGCTTTATCTGCATTGTAGTTTACACCACATTAATCACCAAATTTGAGACTTAAGATTATAAATTTGTAAGAAAATGAAGTTATGAAACAATCAACTTAAACTAAAATGTCCTTAAAGCAGTGCTATATAAACGGATCAAAATCCTCTATTGATGGCTGTATAATAGAAAGATGAAAAAGGAAACAATAAGAGAAAGATGCCACCTACCATCTTCCACTCTGGATCAATGCTCATTGCAACATTTAAAAATTCTTTGTCGAGGAAAGGTACACGAGCCTCAACACCCCATGCAGAAGTTGATTTGTTAGCCCTCAAGCAATCATATTGATGAAGAGCTTTAATCTGTAGACAAATCCACACACAAACAAGATTAACAAGTTACAAAAATCAAGGTAGGACAGGAATTTCTGTCTAGAGGCACTACCTTTCGGCATGTTTCCTCGTGAAATTCCTTCTTATTGGGTGCTTTATGGAAGTACAAATATCCTCCAAAAATTTCATCAGAGCCTTCCCCAGAAAGAACCATCTTTACACCAAGCGATTTGATTTTTCTTGACATAAGAAACATTGGAGTGCTGGCTCTTATAGTAGTCACGTCATAAGTCTCAACATGGTATATGACTTCTTCTATGGCATCTATACCGTCCTGATATTATCATTGGAAGAAGATATAAACAATCAACCAAACAAATATTCACACTCAATACTCTTGTAGATGTAAAAAAACAAACTTTACCTGAACGGTAAAGTGTAACTCGTGGTGGCGAGTTCCTAAATAGTCAGCGACTTCTCTGCCAGCTTTAAGATCCGGGGATCCCTGAAATGAAAACAGATGGATTTACAAATCTTGATGAGCATAGAAAGCTTACGGTGAAAACATTTTGAGAAACTGGGTTAAGACCTTCAAACCGATACAAAATGTGTGCAGCTTTGAACCCCACTGACAAGCAGCTTCTGATTTTTCCAAATGGCGTAACGCTACTGAAGCAACAAGGGATGAGTCTAATCCTCCAGATAGGAGGACACCAAAAGGCACATCAGTCATTAGACGTTTTATAACAGCCTGCAATTTAAATAATTTTTCACATCCATAGTTCCAAAACCAGATCCGCATTTGTCAGGGAAGGAAGATAAAACTCCAGAATTTACCTTCTCAAAAGTATTGCGCACCACTAAGGGATCATATGGGGTTGAAGGAACCAACTCAGAAAACCAGGGGGGGTTGTACCACCTCCTAAGTCCACCTGCAAGAAAGGCTTGTTCCATGAAACTTAACTACGCAGTAAAAGTCCAACAAACTTACGAAGCGATAGAAACCCATAACTAAAACCAATTGAAAGATTTGTAATATCTGTGTGTGTATTCACTAAATAGGAGTCAGCCAAGATAAGTCATTATTTGATATTTAAATTGATGTGATCTGGTATGAAGTACAAACCTTGTTTACTTGAATAGATGTGGCCTGGGGGAAAGCACATAAACTGTTCACAATCATCACAAAGTGCTTTCATCTCAGAAGCAAACCAGACAGAACCTGCGATAGATAATTTGTCAAAGAAAAAAATCAGTAATCTATGACAAAGGAAGAATGATCTTATCTTTTGAGGTGAATTTCTTAGAGAATATGAACATACCATCGAGACCCCACCCAATGTAGAGTGGAATGACACCAATGGCATCCCTTACAGCAATAAAACTTTTGTCCCGAGTATCAAGAAGGACAAATGCAAACATGCCATCCAACATGTCGATAAATTCCTCTCCATGGTCTTCGTACTGCAATAGCAAGAAAATATAAACCAAATAAACGTTTGAATACAGTAACTGTTCAACTACCAAAAGGTAAAAAAGATTGAGGTGACACCCTTGTATCTGAATTTACACAAAAATACAGAAAAATGCACAGCATCTATCTAACGTAGTGCTGAAATAAAATCTCCTCCCAACTAATGGGTACTTACAAGATGTGCAAGCACTTCACAATCACTCCCAGTATGGAACTGATGAGACGTCAATTTTTCACGCAAAACCTTGTGGTTGTATATCTCTCCATTGACCTGAAGCAAGGAAAGAGTTCAAAAAAAAAAAAGCCCTTAATCACATGAATCCTCATAAAGTTTGAGGTTCGACTCATGATTCCTTTTCGTAATGTCAATGATCATTGTAAAAGGAATAAATGTTCACTAATCCCAGTTCCTCCAAGCAACTGACATTAAGACAGAAGCAAAAGTTACCGCGACAACAACGGTCTTGTCTTCATTATAGAGTGGTTGGTCGCCAGAAGTAGGGTCAATGATGGCCAAACGCTCATGAGCCACATAGCAATCTTCATAACAATGTAGGCCGCTCCAGTCAGGACCTCTATGCCTCAATCTACATAACATTTCAATAGTTTATACCATCAGATTAGCCATTCCATCGATTTTGACCAATACATGTAATTCATCGTCTCCACAAGACAGATGCCAAGTAAAAATGCTCATCATTTACCAAAAAGTTGGAAACTTTTCTCATCCAAAACAAGACCCAATAATAATAAACCTTGAGAAAATTGCGCAGCCAAAAACCAAACCAAGGAGAAGGAAAACAAAGAAATGGTTGATTTGAGTATACCTGCGAGAAAGTTGGATGATACGGGAACGTTTCGCTTGGGAGTTATCGCCGCAGCCTAACACAGCAAGAATCCCACACATGATGCTGGCGGCAACAAGAGAACACAACGGCTTCTGCGAAATGGATGCTGTGGAAACTAAAAAGATGACCTTTATAAAGATGGGGTTTCCAAATTCAATCAGGACCGTTGATTCTGTCAATTAATCCCAAAGATAAAATATTCGGATTTTAACTTTACCCTAATTTGTTGATTTCGTAAAAAGATTCTGTGTCACGAGATTCGCCGGATTCTCGAGGAGAAAAAAGATACTCCAATTCTCGAAACAAGTATCCTTAAAACGTAGTCGTTTTATGAATTCCTTAAAACGGAGTCGTTTAACGAATCCTTATTTTAAACGTCCGATTCTCGAACCAAACAAACTTCTTCCATTAAATGTCCGAGCTGGAGTTGGAGGTAATACTCTTAGCAACAACACTCTTGTAACACATTTGACTTGTATGTGTCTATCTGCACAGTCCTTGATGATGCCTAATGGAATGGTAATACGCTTCGTTGTCTGTGTCCCTTTTTGTTGTCCATGAATCATATTTTGAAACAGTAATGTGATGTTTAAATTCTCTCCAATATTCTTTTAACAACCTTTAACTGAACCTGTGTTTATTTTTCTTCTTACAGAATATATGAATCAAACGAAATATCCAGCTCCATTTCTGAATTATGGTTTGGAATTACTTAGCTTGTTTTTGTTTTCTTCAGCTGACATTGGAATAACCAGAGTACATCATCAAAACACTGTGAATACATTACTGGGCGTTAGGCCGAGACTATGATTGATTTATTGGCTTATGACATTGACATTCTTCTCCTCAAGCTGGTTCTTGGTCCTGTGGAACTTGGTCTTCGTGTCCTGTCTCTTGTTTCATCGTCTTCACGTTTTATGTGGAACGATTTCTTCACCTTTTGCCAACGCAATCCCCAGTTCTGAGTGCTCTTTTGTTTGCTACTTAACTTTTCATGCTCTTGTTGAAGCTCATTGTAATCGTTCTGAAGCTCTGCTATCTTTTTCTTTGCATGTTCCAGCTCTTCCTTAAGTGTCTTGATTTCATTATCTCTACATATACGTTTATCCTCACGACCTTCAGAATTTTCTTCCTTCTTCTCTGGTTGCTTTTCTTGCATCATCATCCTCATCTTTACTTGTTCCGTGAAAAGTACTTGAGTATTGATCTTGTTTATGATAGGATGTTTAGCATTTTAGTCAGTCACTTACATTACTCTTTGACTTCAAGAAAGGCTTATATTTTTGTTCTGTTTTATGGCATACCTGGACAATAGTTCTCAGAGGCAACCGATCATTTTGTGCAGCATGTAGGCATGCATCAAGTGATAGTTTCTCACAGGTCATTGTCTTGCATAGTCTTCTTCTATCGTGCTCTGATAGTGAAGGATGAGTCTGAAACAAGAATTAAAATCATTAGCTTTGGTTTGGAGATTAAATCAGAAGAAACGTTACTACCTTGAGGAACATATCAATTGCTCTGTAGAGACCATCATGGCATTTCCAAGCATTCTCCGGCAACATTTCAGCTAGGACCTGAAACTTTGTTATGGGTAGACAAGGATCTTTTGCAATCTCAGCTAAGTAATTGTCCAAAAGCTTGGTTATGCTTGGCATTCCTGGTACTTGTTGTTGTTGTTGCTGCTCATGCATCAGAAAATACTCAAAAATCCTGTGAACCACATCCACATTGTATATAGTGTATGCCTCAGGTGAGCTGTGCATAAATCAAACGTCAAGAATTAAACATTTCTTTCGTTGAAGTTAACATACAAGCTAATCAAAGCAAGAGTAGACTTTTCTCACCTGGCTCCTTTCTGCTGATCTTCATTTTTGAAGTTAGGAATAAGAAGGTCACATACATTAGCATCTTCCAAAGCCATGCCTACCCGTTTCTCAAGATCAGATATTAAAGCTGGTGATGCAGTGTAAACAATTGCTGTTTTCAACAACCTTAAGAGAAAGTGGCATGAGACTGCTCCAGGTTCTGGAGGAAGTACACTAACTAAGCTTTCAATAGTTTCTTTATGTTCTTGACATCCTAAACTGCTGCTTTCCTCCATTCTTTCTCTCTTCACACTGAACTGCAACGCATTCTTTCCTAACCCGTAACCTCTTATTCCTTCCAAGTCTTCATCGATTATCGGCAAAAAGTTGTCTGCATACTTCATGATGATTTTACCTGTAATCTCTGGTTTGGCCCTTCTTGCTTTCATAGTTGTTATAACCCTCATGAAGTGATCAGTTCGAAGTGTGGCTATATCATTGTATAAACATCTGTCATTTCTGTCTACAACATCTTCTGGTGTGTTATCATTGCAGGCTTTCCAAGCTAGCAAGTCACAGCATCTCCTTACGATTTGGAGGTTTTCGGCCCATGGAGATAAGCTTGCACACGATCTCAGAACAGTGAGTGTATCTCTCCATGATGAAAACACTACAAAAGTGATGAAAGCCTCTGTCTTGGAGATTAAATTCCCTGCTTCAAATTCTTCAGTCATGTACAAGTATTCTGATGCACATCTCAGTGAAGCTACATTGAGAGGATTCAAGTCCAGCGGGAGATTGTAGCAAAATTTCAGAATGGTCTCAAATGTATCTGCTCCACCAGGGAAGTTTTCCAGCTTGAGATGATATCCTCCACTCTCAGAAGGTGAAGGTTGTAGCTCAATAGAGCTTATGTAACCACATTTTGAGATCAAAGGAAACTGTTCAAGACAAAATAATTACAGTAAACAGACAATAACATCTCTGATCGATAGTTCAAGTAAAATCTTAGTTGTCTAGAATTGCAGTCACTAAACTCATGTGTATATATATATATACAAACTTGAAGACTATTAAGCTAACACATCATCTTTCTTTTGCTGACTAAAATTTTACCTTGTGTGCTTTGAAGGTAATGTCATCGACTTGAATAGAAAGATCAGTAGGGATTTGAGATTTGACATACCTGCAAGAGATAAAAAAAAAAGAGAGAGAGTCCATTAGCTTAAGCTAAAATCTTTCTACTGAAACTATGTTCTGCCTTATATAATCTATGAAAAGATTGCATACCAGGAACGGTCTTTCTTCTCGAAGCTGTTTGCTAATGAAACATCAACTCTTTTTGGAAGTATAATGCTTTTGTTACATATAGGATCAGTCTCAGTATCATCTCCAGAGCTCTTCAGCTGGCCTGAAGATGCTGAATTCATTCCTTTTGATCTGCAAAAACAAAGAAGTGTGACTGTATGTTGGATAGAGATGAAATATGTTGCTTATATATAAAATTGTAAAGAGAGTGGGGGGGGGGGGGACAAAATATGAGAGTAAATGCGAAAAGAGAGTGTGTGGCTCATATATGGGGAACACATAGAGAGAAGCAGTTGTGAAAGATTTGGACCGCTTAATACTTTATTTTAGGTAGAGAATGTTCTGTCATTAAATATGATATGTCAGTATCATTGCCATAACCTTCTGGTCTGCGTAATCCCCATCATATATGTGATGATAGTTGTACACTGTTGTTGTAGTTGGTGTGTTGAATCGTTGGGAGTCTTCTATAATCTACTGGTCTGCGTAATGAGCTGGTTGGTGTGTGAATCGTTGGGGATATCTACTGGTCATACGGCGTCGTTTTAATGATATCACTATAGCAAATTATGAATGATTTTCCTTTAATTAGTTGCTTTCTGTGAATAATACGTTTATTATTAGAGTAAAAAAGATACCTTTCTCAACAAACATGTAAGAAAGTCGTGTGCAAACGATTTTGTTGTTCAATTTACTAAATTAGGCAGTTAATTTCTCTGAAGTATACCAAAGCAATTAATTAATGTAAACTAATTTTTAACAGTTTTTTTTTGGTAAATATTCGTGGTTGGCGGTTACATTGGTGTAGCCATATAAACGCGTCAAACTCAAACCTTCATTCACCTGAGAAATCGCAAAAGTCAGATCTAAAGCTCAAATATTTTTTACGGTGAACGATCATCTCAAATCCGGGGGGAAAAAAATGGCGAGTGTGTCACCTTTAGCCAAGTACAAGCTCGTGTTCCTTGGAGATCAATCCGTTGGCAAGACCAGCATCATCACTCGTTTCATGTACGACAAATTCGACACCACTTATCAGGTTTGATCATCTCACCCCTTTTGCCTGTGAGATCCACGATCCTATTTGCTGTAATGAGTAGATCAGTTTCAAATCTGCAGATTTTGGTTATAATTTGCCTCCTTGTAGTGTTAATGATGTGTTTTGCCAGGCATTGTCAAATCGGATCTTGTGTTTTTTCTTCTCATTTTTTTTGTTTTGTGGGAGAATTTTTGCAGGCAACTATTGGAATTGATTTCTTGTCAAAAACAATGTACCTTGAGGATAGGACTGTTCGTCTGCAGCTATGGTAAATTATATTCTCCAATTCTTTTGATCTCAATATGAATTTATATGATCAATGATGAGGATCTTTGTTGTTTGGTAGAATGGCTGAATGATCATCAAAATAGCTATTATACTTATATATGTCCATGAATATTCTCAGCATTGTGCATCATCAATCAACCATGTTATTTTGTCTTGTTCATCTCTTTTTAGTTTTATAGGTAAAATTTAAATCATCTTGCTGTGAGCTGTCATTAAGCTTCCAAGTTTTATATAATGTAGGGATACTGCTGGACAGGAGAGATTTCGAAGTCTGATACCAAGTTATATCAGAGATTCCTCTGTTGCTGTTATTGTCTATGATGTTGCAAGTAAGCCTTCTGTAACATTACTGTCTAGCTTTACCATTAAAGCTTCTCCTTTGTGTACTATCTATACATTTCCCATAGATTTTGCAAGGATGCTGTGTAAAGATCTCATCTTTATACGGTTTTTCTTATGTACAGATAGGCAGTCATTCTTGAACACCTCCAAGTGGATTGAGGATGTTCGTACAGAGAGAGGTAGCGATGTTATCATTGTTCTGGTTGGTAACAAAACTGATCTCGTTGACAAAAGGTAAGAAACACTTGACCAGATATGAGACTTGGAAGCTTTTTTTACATTTAGCTATCATCAACTTGACATTTCCATTTGACAGGCAAGTGTCGATAGAGGAAGGGGATAACAAAGCTCGTGATTATGGAGTTATATTCATAGAGACAAGTGCAAAAGCAGGATTTAACATCAAGGTGAGGGATGCAACTATACCTCATCACTCCTTTAAGATCTTGAGATTTCGTGGAATAACGCCTGGCTTTTTTTGTTCTGGTGTTTTGAAACTTGCAGCCACTATTCCGCAAGATTGCAGCAGCATTACCAGGAATGGAAACACTTTCTTCAACCAAACAAGAAGATATGGTTGATGTGAACCTAAAGGCTTCGACCAATTCGTCTCAAGGGGAGCAACAACGAGGTGGCTGTTCGTGTTAATCAATTTTAAATATATACATTTGACAGCAACAGAATAGGAAGATTTCAAAACAAAAGAAAGATTTATAATTTGATGGAACAAATAAATCCTGGTATAAGGACAGAGATTTTTATGTGGAGACTCATTGTTTTCTTTGGAAAGGTTTTGTTTTCGATATGCAGTTGTGTAATAATGACATGTGAAAGCTTAAGAAGAAGAATGATAATGACTTGCTCTGTTCTCATTGCTCATTTGGTTTACATCATCCATTGTCAATCTCCATTTTGACATTATTAGATAATTTGTGCATAATGAAATAAGACGGTAAAAAATGTGAAAAATAAAAAGATATTCAATTTCTCATATTAATCTATTATTCTAGTCTATCCATTAAGTGTTGTAAGACAAAGACATGGACAACAAAACTTTAGAACTTTTTACTGTTGCCATCCGTATTGCTGGTTTCTATTACCACCCATTGGGTTCTGACCTCTTCCAGAGCTTCCAGAGCCACCATACTGACCACCTTGTGTGTAGTTAGGTGGTCCAACCCCGTAGGCGCCACCACCACTTGGCCTTCTAGGACCTGCCACATACGGAGCTCCCCGTCCTTGTGGAGGATATGATCCGCTGCTGTAACCACCTCGGTTTTGATTATAACCCCCGCTTTGGTTTCCGCTAGGAGGGTAGCGGTTTGGAGCAGGTGGACCACGCGGTTTCCCATTCCCATAGAAGTGGTGGCTGGGTCCAGCTGGCACTTGTGGCAGTGCGTTGTTATTGGGATGGTTTGGACCGGCAGGCCAATGTGGAGCAGCATGAGACTGGCCACCATGTTGTAATGGAGGCAAACGAGAATGCTGCTGCTGTGGATGTTGCAGCTTTTGTCTTTTTGCTGCTTCCTCATTTTGGCGCTGCTGTTGCCGCTTTTTCTTTGTCTGGAACTCATGTGAGGATTCATATGTGGGCAGACTGTTAATATGAAACATTGTTTTAGTCCAACGAATCTTCCCCATAATCATCTGTCTAGTAAGCTAGATGATGATGATTAATCAAATGAGTTTCTTGAATTTGTAAGAGAAACTCGGAAAATGTTAGTACCTCTTCGGGTCACAGGGCAGCGGATCAGTCCAAAAGTACTCAGCATCAAGAGCATCCTTCGCAGATATTCTCTACACCGGGGAAAGCAAAAAAAAAAAAAAAAAAAAAACTTAAATTTCTATATGGTCAGCAGCGTCCTGCCTTAAAAGAGGTATGCTTCACCTAAGTGACAGTAAAAGACAGTTTGTTTTTGCAGTTTGCATATACTTTCAGAAGATAGTTCGCTGCAAATAAAGAGAATGGTCTCTCATACCTGTGATGGGTCAAGCACCAACATTTTCTCCAGTAATTCAAGAGCATGCCGATCAAAGCTGTGCAGAAGAGAAGGAAAAGCGAAATGAAATTTTCTGATAAGAGTAAATGTGTAAAATGGATCTATATACTGGTTGACTTTACTTACTGTCTGAAAAACTCTCTTACACGTCTCTTCAAGGGACGTGCCGGCTTGAAATTGTTGTACCAAGGCATCTTGGAAACCCCAGGCCAAATATTTTCATCAGGTGATCCACAAAGTTCAAAGATCTTGTTCAATTGTTCATGCTGAAACAATGTAAGATACAGAACATATACTTTTAGATTATCAACAACATGTAAGCATAACTGCGTCTATACTATTCACGATAAGCTATTGAAACCCCAAACGCAGATAAAGACTCCTGGAATTTTATCTATACGTAATATATAGACAGAGAACCGAACCAGCCTCCATTGTTTCAGGATAAAAGCGATGATCTATCTAATTCTAATGAATCCCTAAGGTGTCCAAGTCCAACAATAAAACCAGGAGACCAGGTATATTCTTATACTATAAGTGGTATGAAAGCACACTTCATTAACATCTGAAATGTTCAAAAGAACTGTGCTTTCAGCAAATATAAAATCCTGACCTCATTTTTCCCAGGCAAGATTGGTTTTGCATGCAAAAGTTCAGCAAATATGCAACCAACCGACCACATGTCAATTGCTGGGCCATATTTTGTTGCCCCGAGTAGTAATTCAGGGGGCCTGCCACAATACGTGTATGTAAGCAAAGTAGCAATAAATGATACATTAGCAAAGATCATCATGCCAAGGTATCAAGACTATCTCTGTATCTAACATGTAAACTTTAAATGACGATTTGTAAGCTTACCTGTACCACAGTGTGATGACACGATTTGTAAGATTTCCTGCATGATCATGAGAAAACGACCGTGCGAGCCCAAAATCTGCCAGCTTTAAATTTCCCTCATTGTCAATAAGGAGATTTGAACCTGGAAAAAATTCGAGGTTAATAGGCAAGTAAAAGACTAAAAGTGATAAAAAAACATCAACAATGTATCTGGGAGAATCACCTTTTATATCACGGTGAAGCACTTGATTTACATGACAGTAGTGAAGCCCGGTGAGCAGTTGCTTCATGTAACACTTATACATGGATTAAATGTTAGAATAAAGTTGAACAACAGCATGCAAAGGCTTATAGAATTAACAAGCTATTTAGCAGTGCAATACCTTGATTTGAGGAACAGTAAATCTCAGTCCAGGACGGTCAGCGAGACCAGTCAAATCATGATCCATGTAATCAAAAACCATGTAGATGCCACCCTTGTATTTGTTATTATCTAGAATTCCGCGTAGGTAAAAAGGCACAAACTTTAAGTGAGAACAAATCCTAGGTTATGCAGAAAATATGACAGAAATTGAAACTACATTTTTCACAAACCTGGCTTTCCTTGGTCATCCCTGTCCCGACCTTTGAAGAGACAGAACAAATCATGAGGTTAGACCACTGAAAAATGAAATTAATAAACTGATTCCAGAGTAAAATGTATGTTCCTTAAACAAACCTGGTGAGGTCACAATCTCTTTCAGCTGAATGACATTTTCATGATGAAGCTTCTTCAGAATTTTAATCTCCCTGATAGCTGTAATAGGAAACTGCATCATACAAATTGTGAACAAGGGGTTAAAAACAATTCCAATAGCAAACAAATAACTTGTATCTGTTCTAAACATAGTGAGCTATATCATAAAAACTTATAAAGAGGGAAAAAAAAATCATATACCCCTTCTCTTTCATTGTCCATACGGATCTTTTTGAGAGCAACAATTTCACCAGTTTTGATCTCTTTAGCCATGTAAACTTGACTGCAACAGCAAACAACAACAACAATCAAATATCCAAAAAATAAAAAAAAAACACAGCAATAGGCATTGTCAAAACCTAATCGTCCTACAATCTCAATTACGGTAATCCCCAAAACAAAAATTGAAAATACCCAAAAGAGTGAAACTGAAATCAAACGAAAAAGGGGATGAAAATAGAGAAAACAGACCCGTAAGTGCCTTCACCAATTTGTTCGAGCTTCTCAAAGCAATCAACGCTGCGAGATCCCCAGATCGGAGGAGGTTCTTCGACGTTTAATTTCCCCAAATCTGCCATCACCATGTACGTTCCCGGGGGCTGCTCCAACTGTCCGATAGTAATTTTTTTTTTTTTTTTTTTTTAACTCCGATGATCAGATCAGCCCTCGTTGATCATATAACCTTTTTTTATCTCCAACAAAACTCGCCGTAGGTTTCTTATCTTACTTTTAACTGTGTGTAAAGCGTTTTGAGTATCGGTTCCACTAAATCGGTTAAAGTCTATGAATTGTTCGGTTTGAACCGGTTCAACCGTAAATAAGCGGTACGCGAAGTAACAGCGATCAATCTAGAGGTTCCATACTGTAATAGGAAAGTGCAGGGTCCACCGAAACAAAATATGGATGCGTACATAACTATTATCTTATTGTATAGATTAGAACCCTTATATATATATATATATATATATGTAAATAATTTTAATGTATGTTATAGCAATATAGCACTATTTAGTTTAAGAAATTTAACTCCATTTTCTATGAATGTTAAATTTTCTTGTTTATTTTCTCGTCTTTTAATAGTCTTGCTAACAAAATTGATATTTTTGAACATGCCTGTTCTAAGGTTACAGTAAAAACAACATTTTGAAAATAAAAACAAAGAGAAAAAGCCGAAAAAAAAAAAAAAAAAAAAAAAAAAAAAAAAAAAAAAAAAACAAAGAGAAAAAAATTACAATGGACGTTTCTTCACAAATAAAAATTTGTAGGCGAATTTGAGAAAATTCTAAATATGGCGGGAAAATTAAGAAAATTATTTAGGTTTTCCTTTCTTTTTTTTGGTTTGCAGAGTCAGTGTCTGTGTCACTAAGTGGTTCCAACAGATGGAAGACAAGGACTAGCTCATGTAATCTAATCTGTCTTTGCGTGTTTAATACGCCGTTGTTCCATCGTCTAAAGCAAACCATTCTATTCTGGTTCTCCAAACGGAAGAAGATGGATAGGTGAGAGAGAGAAGAAACCCTAGCTAGCTAGATCTCTCATCAACGGGGGAGAGAGAAGACTCATCTTCAAACCCTAACATAGATCCCCGACTCACCGGAACTCAGATCATATCCACTTCTAGTTCTAGAGACGGAAAGGGACCGAATCTTCAGATGGATATATATAGTCTCCAAGCTGAAGAAATCCATCCGAACATATGAGCGGACAAGACAACCTTTTACTATACATAGGTAAGTCTCCTTAAGTATGTTTCATGAACTTGTTCAGTTGAAGTCTTGCTTCTTTTCAATTTCGTTGCTGCTCCATAATATATATGCAATATATGGTGTGATAGCTAGCGAGGTTATATAACTTATACTATATAGGGAATCTGATTTATGTAAAGTTGAATATGAACTTATCATAAATTAAACCTCAAGACTATAATTAAACAATGTTCTCATCCAATCCACTTTCTATACAAGATACTGACTTGCTGATTTGATTCATATTCCACGTACAATCTACTTAATATCACTGCTTTTTTTTTGTCTGATGGTGTAGTTTTCAAGCTAACCGAAATATTCTTCTTCCAAGCTACTCTCTTGTGTGGATGATTACGTGGTGGAGTTGTTCTACCACTCCTACTATTCTTGTGATTTCAGTGATATTTTATTCTTGAGTTTCTTAATTCAAGGTATTGGTCTGCCATTTGGGACGACTTATACGGCCAAACACATATAACTATCCCACTTTCTAGACCATATAAGATGTAAAGCAACTCATATTGAAGTCGTCTACATTGGCAGCCAGAAGCTATATGTTACCATGTTTCATTTTCAAGCCAGAGGAGTTTGCTATGGGAGGACCAGTTCAATGTACTGCAGGTATCTCATCTCTCTTTTATGATATCCAGCAAAACTGCAGGATGCTAAGTTTTAGTAATCTGATGTCTTTGTTGTTGTTGAGTGCTGCTTGTTAGTATGTGTTGATTCACATGTTTGCTGGATCATGTACGAAGAGGGTTTTTCCAGGTTTTTTTGTTATCCTATTGTTAGCACGGAATGATCTAGTCCATGATGATTTTTACCTAATATAATGTTTATCTGAGGGTTAAGTCAAAGGTACTTTGAAAGATCTATCTGCCCACAATATTATATTTGGGGAAATCGTCAAACTTATAGACTTTTTATGCTGAATATATATAATTTTTATTTTTTAGTAAGAATTATCTAAAGTTGGGTTGGCATCTGCAATCGTTGTGTTGTTCACATCCATCAGTTCTACAGATTCCAATTATGCATCTCAAAACTGTAGCAACACGTGTTTAGTGTATATAGTTTTTGGATGAAGTTGTTAATTTGTGTTCTTCTGTGAAAAAAGATAGGGTCATAGGGACAATTTTGAAGCTCATCAAATGAATAGGTCAGTGTTTAGTTAATGTTAAGTGCTACTAAATTTGAATAAATACAAACGGCTTAGGACAACGAGCAGATCTAAAGGTGACTTATAAGGTTTGCTCCTGGATAGCTTTTTGTGTTCTTTATTGGAACTCATTTTAAAGACCTGACTTACCAACCCCAACCATGTGTTTTAGAGTAGCGCACAGCTTTTTATGATGCTTTTGTCAAGATTATTCTATTATGTATCCTGTTCTGTTCTTTACGTATATGTTCATGCAGAGATCTTCGTACTTTTGTTTTTGTTGAGTCAGGCCATGTGGCTTACTTTTTCATGCAAAAAGCTTCCCCAGTCTTTTGTCTTTAAACTCTTACACTCTCATGAAAAGATATATCACTTTAGCCTGTTTGCTTTAGCTACTCCCTTCTTAAAAGCAACAATGTTATTTTTGTACAGGGTCTTTCAGAGATTTTCTTTTTGTCTTCTCCTTGATGCCTGCTGGTGAGGGAAACGATGAAATCGAAGAACATATAGGCGCAGTGGTACTGTGGCGACTCTCTTAGTTTCTGAGGTTCGTTGATGATTCTAATTCCCATCTAATATACTTCATTCAATTCTGTCTTTAAGCATATATACAAAACTTAGTAACTTACTATGGTAAAGCATTCACAAATTTTATGGTTTTATCACTTGTTTTGAGCTAAGTTGATTGGTGATTTAAACTTATGAAAAGACTGTCTTGGGAATGTCATATTTTCAAAGTACAATATTCATGAAAAAAGATGACAGAAGTCTACCTTTCCACCTTTATCACATGACTGGAAAAGTTAACTAACTTTATTCACCAGTGCCTTTTTTGTCGCCCATTTGTCAAAGTGAAAGCTGGACTTTTTTATACTTGTTTACTGAGATAATCTTGTTTGTTTGGTTTATAGTAACTAATCTCGTTTGTTTGGTTTATACTTTGCACTAACTTCGTCTCCATTTTCCTCGTAAAGCTCAAATTTCAAAAGGTCTTTTTATATGTTCAAGTTGTCTAGATGTTTGTGCAGATTTGTGAAATTAATAAAGATCTACATAAAACTATTTAAACCATATATATAAAACATCTATCTCTATAAGTATGTGCTGAAGGTGAACCTCTGAAACCTCCTACAAAAAGCTTTTTAGTGAGAAGGCACCACTAACTCGGTAAACTCAAAAGCCACTACATATACTTATTTTTTCATTCCACGTATTTTTACAACAAATGTACGAAAGAGAGATGATGCTTAATTTTGCTTATATACCATTATGAAGAGTGGTTAGGTAAATGCCCCCGTATATGGAATTTGATCGAGGTAATGCCTAATAATTAACCTTTTTAAAACTATTTTCTTGTTTGTTGATAGCTACTGGTTCTTGCTTCTTAGTTCATGAGTTTTCTATAAGGTAATTTCAGTTTGGGCTTTGTTAGACTGGATCTAACAGAACTTAGTCTAAACAATCTTGTGAATACATGTTTTTCTCTAGTATCGTTCTCTTCAAGTATTTGCAGTGAGCTCTAGATTATCTACAATCCTAAACATGATTTTTTATGGCAGGAAGAATCACAGACAGTATGAATACATGGTCGTGGAGACATGCACATACAAATTCTTGAACAGAAATATAATCCTTTTGACATTACTGGTACGAAAATCTTCTGAACTTTGTATATTCTTTTTGAGGTTGTGCCTTTTCATCGTGAAATCATATCATTTTTCTTATAGCCTCACATAGATTTTGTAGGAAAAACTTCTGGTTAATTACATGCACCTTCTAAAGTCGTAACTAAGTACAAGCTAGATTCCCTCTTGTCTTTGAGCAACTTGGTTTGTAGGAAAATACGCATTAGATACACATTGCTCTCTCTATATATAGACGTTTTAATTTCTTCTTTTCTGCATTTAGTGAAACTTTAATTTCTCTTCATGTTGTTGTAAGTATAACTCACTAAATGATCATAGATGATATATTTTGTAGAGCTCTTGCCTCTTGGATGACCTATTCTTCGAATATTGTTAGCATCCATATACCTTTCACTGTCTTGAGCTGTAAAACAATTAATGTCCAACGACAAAAGAAGTTCAGCCACCTAAAATGACATTTAGTGGTTGATAAGTTAACGAAAACAAATCAAGCTCTAAGACCACATGATTTAGGTCATATAATATTTGACTGACTTTATAAATTAATGGTATACATTCTTGTTCTTCCTTTTTTTTTTTTCTATTTGTCATGTTCTCGAGGTTTCTTGTGACGATGGCTTTTTTCTAGCAGATGTTCCAGCAATGTTGGGCGTAACGGTTGAGAAAAGTATGATCTGATTAACTATTCTAAATGAAGAGTAAGCAAGAAGATATTAATATATTCATGAGTTTCAAAGATTAATGCCTTTTAGACCACTATCATATAAAACTAATCCTTTGCTATACGTAACAACCATTAACCTGATTACTTATACAGATAAAAAAAAAGAAATTACCAAATATATTTGCTGACCCCATTTCTGTATTAATCCAATAAGGTTGCTACCATGTGAACTGTTGAAAAAAGAGGAATGGTAAAAGAGAGCATACGTGTGCATGAGTGTGTGAGATATGTTACACGTGTGCTCATATTTGATCTTATTGGTTTTTACAGTCACCACTCTCGATCGTCATTCGTTGGAATAGGAATCTTACTGATGCTGGATTGCTGATATGGGAACCACGAGCATCTTGATTTGTAAGTATCAAGTATATTAAAGTTTACTTTGTTCTTATAGATAAATGATCTCGAGTCGTGATTTTCACATCGTCATACAATAGGTTAAGGGTTAGATATATTTTCATTTGTAGCATAGAAAGTCTGAGATTTGTTAGACGCGTTGGTTTGAAACTTGGGAGAAGAAGCAATAGCTGACATTTACAACCAAGTTGTTTATTTCTTCTTTCTAATATTAGAGGAAAAGAACGGTTTAGATGACATCACATGTATCAGAATTAATACTTTTGTAAGAACCTATAGTGCTTTCCTTAATTTTTTTAATATTTTCTTTACCTGCTTCTTCCATTCGAGACTGTGGTCCACTCTGCGAGGAACCCTAATTCAACAAGCAATTGGATCGTATCTCTCTTTTTCTTGTTTTTTCACGTTTTTAGTTTAGTAGGCTCTAACCATTCTAAACCCTAAAATACGTGATCCTTGATGAAATTAATTCATACACCATGAGGATGCTTCCATGGAGTTCCCAATTGAACAAAGAAATTAAGATAGTTGGCTTTCATTAGCTTTCTTGTGAAATGGCTCTGTAATCTCCACATGATTCATTACCAATATAATTACTTGCATGCTAGCTCGACTAGAAATGTTTTGGGGTTATCTAGGCAATGTTCGTTTTTGTTGTTGTCAAGCATTTATATGTTTGTACTTGCAGGGAAGGTAACACGAGTTGAATGAAAATATGGTAATGCAACTCCATAAATAAATAAAAAGCTGTTCAGAGTATCATATATCATTTTCACCTACAATTACTGAATACACTAAAATATCTTCTAGAAACTGACAGATTTGATATGTCCTCGTTTGGTAAAACATCTTCTTGTTTGATTTTATCTCTATTTCTTAATTAGATTTTGTTTTCTTGATACTAAGTCGCTCAATTTGAATTTCCTGCACGGAACCTGTGATCTTCATTATATAGAAGACACAGAAGAAAAAGACAAAGAGCTCAAGATATGCCATTGGGTGCAAATACTAAGGCGGAGGGAGATAAAAGTCTTATAGGGTTTCAAAGATGGTGGAGATTTAATTAGATCATTTTCTGCACCCACCTCTCCCCTAACCAGCTCCTCCCTAGTGGTCAAAATCTTTCACGTCAAGCCTGTACGTCACCATCATCATTAGTAAGTTTTTCTTCTGTTAAGACCAAGACTTTCCCCTGTTACCTTGACAATATCGTTATGTGTCTGTCCAAATGTCCATGTCTGAATTCTCATTGAATGCACTTAGAAGAAACGGTTAAAGATGGTGTTTCAGAATATGAACTTGGTTCCTCACCCATTAGAACTAGTGCTGATGATCTCCTGCACCATTTACGATTAATTAATCTATTATGCTATGGTTAAGAATGGTTTAGTTAGCTTTTTCCGGTGTTACAATTTAGATATCCTATGCTAATAAAACATATCGTGCTGATAAGCTCTGTAAGTATTACCTAAATTTTGTTATGTAAGGAATTTTTCATGATGTGTCAAACGAGAATTACATTGTCATATATCAAACGCATGCACTTTGCATATTTTACTTTCATATATTCTTGAATCATTCTGATTTTCAGAGACAAGCGATCTTAGGGTTCATTGCTTGCATTCGATTTAGGTTGGTTGATCGTAGCTTTTAGTCGATTGTGTAGAAAAAGAGAATTTAAATATAGATGCGAGTATATGAATAATTAAATGTATGATTAATATGCGATGGAATCGGATGATGCGAGGAAACCTAATTTTGCGTGCCAGAGGAGATGTCTGTCTTTTTATTTGGCCACCCTTTGGTTGCCATGTGTTGTTGGCGCTGACTTCTATTTCCAAATCCTTTCTCTTTTTATTTGTCATTCCAATGATTAAAATAATACAAAGCCCTCCTGTCGAATTCCCTTTATTGCCCTTCTCTATCTCCTCCATCATTACCTAACTCGGTGGAGATCTTTTATGGATCTCATATGAAAGATGATGAAACCCTTCTTGCTTTTAATTAGTTGATGATCTGTACGTGTCTCTTCTTTTTGTTTTTGTGTTTTTTTGAGGAGCATTCAATAACCTAGGCTAGAGTTTTTGGTTGTGAAGAGCGACCAAGCAATAACTATGTGTTGTTGTTCTCCTTGACAAATATGCAGGGTTTGGTGCTAGGGCATAGTGATGGCTACTTATGAACTGCTTCCCAATTAAGGACAAAATAAAAGATGGATTGGTATGTGTTTGTCCATTGGAGACGGCTGTTCCGGAGATGATACTGATGGTGCTTTAAGACAAGAGGAAGAATTTACATTGAATGATTTTTATCACACACTGGTAAGGGAATGCGTATATGAGAGGATAAAATAAAAATAATGATTAGAAAAATGGAATTGAAAGGTGAAAGTGACATGGTTGTTTTGGTAGGCGAATAGGAAAGATGCACGTGGTGAATGGGACATGAAGAGAAAAGGGTGCTCGCTAGGTTTAATATAAATTGGAATAAGAAGCAGTTAGTGGTTGTCAAGGAAGGAGGAGAGCAAACCAAATCTCAGAGACGATTTTCTTAACACTACTATAGAGACAAGGAAGAAAGAAGAAGAGAGAGACCGTACGTTGTTGTTGATTACAGATAAAGAAGACCACATGGGAAGACCTCCTAGCTCTGATGACTCTGGTCTCAAGAAAGGTCCTTGGACACCTGATGAAGATGAGAAACTTGTCAACTATGTCCAAGAACATGGTCATAGTAGCTGGAGAGCCCTTCCCAAACTCGCTGGTAAATTAAAGCTCTTTGTGTTCATTGTTTTTGTTTCTTTCTTTAAAGCATGATGAGTCTAATATATATGATTCTCTCTCTGCAGGTCTTAACAGGTGTGGGAAGAGTTGTAGGCTAAGGTGGACGAACTACTTGCGACCTGACATCAAGCGAGGGAGATTCTCTCCGGACGAGGAACAGACTATCTTGAACCTTCACTCAGTTCTTGGGAACAAGTAATTAAATCTTCTGATTGTTTTGGTTTTTTTTTAGTCAACGGTTTTGTATACCAAATTATCTTATACAATTTGCTTATGATGATGTTACAAGGTGGTCAACGATTGCTAATCAGTTACCTGGGAGAACAGATAACGAGATCAAGAATTTCTGGAACACTCATTTGAAGAAGAAGCTGATTCAGATGGGTATTGACCCAATGACTCATCGTCCAAGAACCGATATCTTCTCCGGCTTATCTCAGCTCATGTCTATGTCCTCTAACCTGAGAGGCTTTGCTGAGCTGCAGCAACAGTTTCCAATAAGTCAGGAGCACACTATACTGAGACTCCAAACCGAGATGGCCAAACTCCAGTTGTTCCAATACCTTCTTCAACCATCATCTTTCATGAATACCATTAACCCTAATGACTTAGACTCTCTCAGTCTCCTTAACTCTATTGCCTCCTTCAAAGAGACCACTACTACCACCACCAGCAACACTCTCGACCTTGGTTGCCTCGGTTCATATCTTCAGGACTTCAACAGCTTACCATCCCTAAAAACCCTAAACTCCAACAGCATGGAACCATCATCTGTTTTCCCACAGAATCCTGATGACAATCACTTCAAGTTCTTCACTCAAAGACAAAACCTACCCGTGTCCCCAATCTGGCTCTCGGATCCCTCCAGCTCAACTCAGAGTTTGACGTTACCTAATTCTGTTGTGACTGATGATCTGATTAGGAACCAGTACGGTGTTGAAGATGTCAACAGCAATATCACATCTTCAAGCTGTCAAGAATCAGCAGCTTCAGCTTCAGCTGCATGGCCTGATCATCTATTGGATGATTCTATATTTTCCGACATTCCTTAGCCCTTCTTTAATTTTGTCTTTTTTCAGGTATGTTTTGGAGGCACTCAAATCGAATTTCCTCTTGGGATTGTGCTTGGGGATTGTGCTTGTAATTGGAGAATTTTATTAGATTGCATATCTATATATATTATAGAGACATAATATATATGTGCTCATGTTGTAGAATGTACAGTACAGTACATATTTCAAAAACTCATATGCATGTTATTACTGTCATATGTTCTTTTAACATATGTCTGTACCCATGGCCGAGTTTATATAATATAAAGATTTTTATGAAGTGGAGATCGCTTGTAGTTGCAGTTTGTGTGTTAATTCAATAGTTAGGGTTTTGTTATAATTATATGGATATTTTGTTTTACCCTTCCTGGTTATAACATTCAGATCATGTTTGAACATTGATGTCATATATAGACATACTGTTATGGTATGAATTAAACACACACAAAAAAAATCAAAGAGCACAGTTTGTGTATCTTTTTTACTATTTGCTTAAGTAATAATTAAGCTAGAAAATCAAATCAAAGTTAGTAAGCTAGAGTTTAAATATGTTACATTGACATATCTAAAATCGAGCTGTCGTCGAAACTAAGGTCCAAGGACAACACATTTTGGAGATCGAGTTGTTTCATAATCATTCATGAAGTTTAAAAGTTGATTTGATAGCCAAGGTCAAATAATGGAAGAAGAAGTGAAAGAAGCATGTGACCCGCTGGCTCACGATTATATAAAAAAGCCAAGTAGACATTAAATTATAATTAAAAGAAGTATGTGATGTCACATAAAGTGATCTTTCATTAGGTTTAAAACAAAAATAATTCATTGAGTCCTTTATTTTTTATAATCTTTGTAAAAAGTTTCATTGACTCTATAAATTGAGAGGCTTGCCTTCTTGGGCAAAAGATCTTGTGCAATTAGAGTATTCTACTCCATCCGTATCCGAATAGATCATGTTTGGATTTTTATTTTTTTTGTCAATGGATAATATATGTATTTTTTTTTTTTTTGTCATCTCAATGGATAATATATGTTATTAACTTGTTATCCAACATTTAATCTAATATTTTTAGATATTTTCGATTAAGCACATGAATTTTTTTTTATAAAAATACATCGGTACTATATCTAAATTATGTTTATTTTTCACACTTTTTGACTTTATACAAACGTGAAAATAATAAATTGTTTTGATAATAGATATTAGTTTTTAATGTTAACATAGATATAGTGTGAAAAAATATGTTTTTAAAAGTTCATAAATAGAGTTGGGGGCAACAAAAAACAAAACAAGATTGGGACAACTTAACAGATCCCAAAAGACCCATATCAGGCCCATATAAATGACAACTATATAATAGGCCTGACAACATAAGACGCCAAAAACTGTGATTAACGAAAAAGTCAACAAGAACATTCACAGGATTTATTGAAGACTCAAGTCAAAGATAGATCGTGAAACAAAACAAGATTTATACACTTGATCTTACTTGTTCACTGAAAAAACAAGAGAAAAATGTGTAGTTGGCAACTTTACAAGTAAAATCAAGATTTGATGTTTTGGTCATCTTCCACCTGATAACTCAATGGCATCTTGGTTATGCATAGAGTCTTCACCCCAATCGAATCTCCTCTGCAACCGCTCGAACTCGTGACGTCTTGTGACTTCCACGTTTTGCCACTCTTCCCATCTCTCCGCTAGCCCTTCTCCTTCTAACATCCTTACAACTTCAGACATCACTGGTCGGTCTTCTGGCGAACCTTGTGTACAAAGCAAAGCCACTTGTATCATCATCTCTACTTCTTCTTTTATATACTCCCCATCCAAATTCTTATCTACAATTGCTCCCAATCTCTTCTCTCTTTCAAGTTTCTTCACCTGTCCAAAACAAAAATACCCAAAATGATTATGGTAAATAGAGCTTGAGAGAAGCTATTTTGATGTGTGATTATACATACGTGGTCAAGTAACAAGACATCATCTTCTTCCTCCAAACGAGAAAAGTCAATCGCACGCTGTCCTGTAACGAGCTCAAGAAGCATAATTCCATACCCGAAAACATCAGTTCTCTCTGATGATTTCCCTGTGGATAGATACTCTGGTGCAATGTGACCCATTGTTCCTCGAACTTGAGTTGTCACATTAGTCCTTCTAACATCTACTAACTTGGCTAAACCAAAATCACCAACCACTGCTTCAAAATCTTCATCTAGTAACACGTTTGCTGCTTTCACATCGCGATGTATGATCTTCGGATTGCAATGTTCGTGAAGATACTCGAAACCACGCGCTGCTCCTAAGGCAATCCGTTTCCTCGTCTCCCAATCCAGGACCGGGTCATCAGCTTTAAGCTCTCTGAGACTATGTGCAAGACTTAGATTCTGCATGAAGGGATAAACCAAAAGGCGTTCTGTCTGCGTGGTGCAGAAACCGATAAGGCGCAGTAGATTCCTATGAACAGCTACACTAATCATCTCAACTTCCCTCTGGAATGCAGCATCTCCACCAGGACTTTCAAAATCCGTCAATCTCTTCACAGCAATTTTGGTGTTATCCGGAAGCACTCCTTTGTAAACTTTCCCAAAGCCTCCTTGGCCAAGCACATTCTTTTCGCTGAAGTTATCTGTCGCCAACTGGAGCTCTCTCCATGCAAATCTTTTCAACTGCCCAAATGCAATTCTCCTGTCCACTTCACCTGAAAAAAATATAGTAAAGTTTGAAGATTGTAAACTCTTTATTCCACAAGTGTGCATTTCCATGGATTATAACATGTGAAATACGAAAGAAAGGTTTCCCTGTGGATATATTACAGACCTGCAACATCCACAAACACATCACGTCTATATCCTTTATGCCTATCCTTGCAGAACAGAAACAACAAGATTCCAAAGAGAATAACAGTAACTCCGGCAACAACTCCAGCAATAATGCCAGTTTTTGGCTTGCTTGAATCACCTATCACCATAGATCATTTAGAATTCTCCATACTTTTGAATCAGTTGAAAACACAGAAACTGCGGGTAAGTAATGTAGTTACCTGAATGGGCGACCTCAGATACACAAGGGTGAGGTTGACCACCACCACAATTCAAGTTGTTTGACGTGAAACTATAGTCGATTAAAACAAGATCAGAATACTGCTAAAGAAATGAAAATTTCAGATTCAACCTTAAGTAGTCAAACATACTTGTATTTTGGAATCTCAAATAGACTTTGAGGAATCTGGCCAGTGAGACTATTAGAATCAAGCAGCCTGTAAACATAGTTACAAACAATGAAACTAAGACCAGCAAGAACAAAAAAAACTTCCAACAAAAGATGGTAAGCATAAACAAGGAGCACAATAACTTACAAGTTTAGCAGATTTGGAAGACCCGTGAGAGACTCTGGAATAGTCCCATTAAGTTTGTTTCTACTCAAGGTCCTGTTTGGCCCATACACAGTGAACAAAAACATGAGTGATCCTTATCTATGCCTCAAATGTTTGAAATATATGTCCAAAATTTAACAGCATTAGGAGGCTGAACTACTTACAAGAACTGAAGTTTCTTGAGATTACCAATAGTGGACGGTATACGACCAGTTAGCTGATTGTCCTCCAAATCCAAACTGGTCAAGCTAGTCAGATTTCCAACATCTTCTGGTATTTCACCCGTAATTCCATTTCCCTTTAAAGTACTATATACAAAAACAACATCGAAATGCTTATAACCAAATATGTTCTACACTTCTAGGACATCATTACAAAAATAGAGAAGATAAATCAAGGAAACTTACAGAGTCTTGAGATTTTCTAGGGCTCCTATTCTCGAAGACAAGGTTCCCGAGAAATTCATGTCTGACAATGTACTGCAATCACAAATGCCATGAATATAAATCTTCTCCCACACTCACTTAAGAACAACAGTTACTAATTCAGAGTTATCAACTTATCATTAAACTTACAGAGAAGTGACCAAGTTTTTATCATCACAAATAACTTGGGACCAAGTGCAAGGATTAACTTGGTTCTGATTCCAGTCACTTAGCTGATTGGGCAATGCACGTAACGAGATCCTCAGCGCAAATAGTGCATCCCCTGAAGCAAAGAATCAGAGAGTTAATCTCATAAATGTTTAAGGGAAAGCAATCTCTACCTGGCAAGGCTCAGGAAATCTACCCAAAAAAACTAAGAAATGAGAGAAGAGAGCCGTTAACAAGTAAGAAATAGCATCACCTTGAGCATCTGGAGACACAAATGAGCATAAACAGGCAAAAACCAACACAGTAAAAGCCACAGCCATCTTATGGAAGCTGAACATCTCAGCTCATCTCATCTCATTAATTGAGCTGGTTCCATCTGCAAGACACATTTAATAACATGAGGCCATCCTCAACGGTAATTACTTAAGGAGAATCTTAGGGTAAGATTTCTTTAAGGAAACATCTTATATCCTTAGAACAAAAGAAAGTAAAAATCTTACTTTAACTGGATCTGACACATAATAGAGAAAAGTTGTGAATCAAGAACTTTCTAAAATTCAACCAAATTTAGCTGAAAAAAAAATAAGAATTTCCGGTATGGTGTGCACGAAATTAGGTATAAGGATAAAAGTCCACTATTGAAAGGTTGAGACTTTACATTGAAAAAGAGTCAAACGGATGCTTAAGAACACGAACATGCTCAATTCCTCAGAGAGATTAGTGACCAAACTTCATAAGAAATCCAATTTTTCTTCAGAAAAAAAAAAGAGGAGAGAACCTCGTATCAAAGAAGAAAATCCCAAAAAAAAAAAAGAAAGGAAACAAGTCTGGCTGCTGGAAAGATTCAGTCGAGGGGAATAGAAACACCGAAGAGAGAACAAAACAGAAACAAAAAGGAGAAAGTGAAAAGCTTGTCTCTTCGAATTTTTGTTCTGTAGACTTTCTTTGCGTTTGGCAAATCGCAATTATCACTCTCGCTAATGGCCTTTTGTCTGAAAAGAAAAGTCCCAGTTTTGGTCCACGGAACTGCTTTTTCTGCGTGCAACTTGTAATTATATAATATAATTTAATACAGCTCTGATAATGATGTTTTTGAGTGTGATTATTTAAAACTGTTGCACTATGTCTATGTGCTAGTATTTTTAATTACGACCTTTTGTTTTGTTCACGCCGGAGACGCGGATTTATTTTAGCTAATGTGAATAAACACGACTCACCAAAGACACAAGTCTAATAAGAGAGGCAACGATCAACGTCAAGTCTTCTTTATTTGTCTTCATTGGTGTTGTGTTTTTGAGAGAGTTATTAAGGGAATGGTCTTTTCTAAGATTTGTTTGAGTGATGGTTTTTTCTTCGCGGACTAGGGAAGAAAGGTCATCGAATCATTAAAAAAATGAAGGAAAAGTTCAATGAACTAATAAGGAAATCATTAGAGATGTGCGTGTGCACCATGATGCGAAACGCAGCGGTGGTGCGTTAGTCCAATATTGAAATGGAGCACTAGTTTTATTCATATACAGTAGTAGTCTGAGAATGTTCTCAAAGCTGAGTGTATTTTCAGATGTGTTATATTTTACCTTATTTAAAAAAATCAGTAGATTGTCAAATCTATTAAACACAACAGACGTTCACAAAAAAAAAACTACAAGCATGAACAAATTACTAGCTCAACATCTTTTATATGCTCTATTTCTTCTATCTCGAATCACTCACTGGGCATATGTCATTGTCATAACATTTAAGTAATTATTAAAAACGTAACGCATACGAACTTTATCCAACTATATATAATAACATCATATCCAACTATTCTCAATCAAGCAAAAACCCACAAACTCAGCACACCAACAAAGAAAAGGTCGATCGAGAGTCGAGAGTAAATCATGGAGAGAAAACATCACTTCGTGTTAGTTCACAACGCTTTTCACGGAGCATGGATCTGGTACAAGCTCAAGCCTCTCCTTGAGTCCGCCGGCCACCGCGTTACTGCCGTCGAACTCGCCGCCTCCGGGATCGACCCACGACCGATCCAGGACATCGAAACCTTCGAAGAATACTCCAAACCGTTGATCGAAACCCTAAAAGCTCTACCAGAGAACGAACAGGTGATTCTGGTTGGATCAAGCTTCGGAGGCATCAACATAGCTCTCGCCGCCGACATATTTCCGGCGAAGATTAAGGTTCTTGTGTTCCTCAACGCCTTCTTGCCCGACACAACCCACGTGCCTTCTCACGTTCTTGATAAGGTTTTACAATCAAATAACAATTATAACTCTATACCTACTAATCCCATCTAATACCATGCGAGTAATAATTATTCGTTTGGTCGATGAATGATGAATATTAAGTATATGGAGCTGCCTGGAGGTTTGGAAGATTGTGAGTTCTCTTCTCATGAAACAAGAAACGGGACAATGAGTTTACTGGAGCTGGGACCAAAATTCATGAAGACTCGTCTTTACCAAAACTGTCTTATCGAGGTATTTATTATCCCGACTAATCTCAAATTTTGTTACGCCAAAACAACAATATCTATACAGCTATATACTCAAACTTAATTAGTCCCAGATCTAGCGAAGGAAACTATATTAATTATGTTTGGTGTGTGGTTAATGTGGTGTAGGATTACGAGCTGGCAAGCATGTTGCACAGACAAGGGTCATTTTTCAAAGAGGATCTATCAAAGAAAGAAAAGTTTAGCGAGCAAGGTTACGGTTCGGTGCAACGAGTTTACGTAATGAGCAGTGAAGACAAAGCCATTCCATGCGATTTCATCCGTTGGATGATTGATAATTTCAACGTCTCGAAAGTATACGAGATCGACGGTGGAGATCACATGCTGATGCTCTCCAAACCACAACAGCTCTTTGACACTCTCTCTGTCATTACCGCTGATTTTATGTAACAATAAACTCATGATCACTGTTAGTTTATTTTATGGGCTTCATTAATGAAATAAAACGTTTCAGTAAAATTACAAGTAGTGCTTATGTTAATTGATTACTACTACATGGTATTATTATTTTGAAGCTAAAAAATACAAAGAGGCAAAACATCGAAAGTAATGTAAAATAATTGTACGAAGTTAAGCTTTACTCAGAGCAAATGCATTGGTTTGGACAGCATTTCGTCCCAAGTTTTTTTATTTTTTTTTATTTTTTATTTCTTTTCCAGATTTTTTCTTGACAGTGTCTTGTTCCATTCAAAAATCACCAAATCTAAATTTCATTTATCAGGCCCGCGATTGGTGAGACAAATGCTAAGGGACCGTAACGTTTGGAGATACGTCCTCCTTATATTTTTTTTCTTTTGAATTTTCTTTTATTTTTTTTGGTTGGGGGACTGCCATAAACCCTCCAATGCTCATGCTCTCAGATAAAGGGATTCACGAGAAGGAGACTCAAACAGTGACGTGTAGGACAGTGAAGCAGGTGAGACAAAATTGATTAATCAATTTCTTGACAGTGTCTTGTTCCATTCAAAAATCACCAAATCTAAATTTCATTTATCATTTTCCCAAAATTATAGTCTTAAGCCTAAATGGTTCTGTTCTTCTGTCAGTAAGAAAAGAAAAAAAAGCTGTAAAAAAGCTGATGAAAATAAATTGTGAACATGCAAACGTTAAGGAATCAAAAGAAGAAAGATTAAAACTTTAATGAATTTAAAAGCATAAATTGTTGAAAGAAATGATTAGCGAGTTTTCAAAATAATCATAGAAGTTTTTGATTATATACAAATTGAGCCGTACATTTACAAAGAATCCAAAGAACACTTACTCTCTGCTCCCAAAAATCCAAAGTCAATATTAGAAACTTCTTTTACAAAAAAGTAACAGAGTAGAAAGGAGAGATCAAACCAGAGACAGAGATCAACAGCCTTTAAGGATTATAAAAGTGGCCCTTGCAATGACATTTCCAGCCCATAGGTTTGTAATTAGAGTACTGATCAAGAACGGTGGTTAAAGACGAAGGAGGTCGTACGAACCCACCGGAAAACGGGTTAACTCGAGTGAACCGGGAGCGAGTAGGGAGAGTGGGAACTTGGATAGCCATGCAAGGATGGCAGTTGTTGCATCTGTTGTGGCAGCTCGGTGGCGTAGAACCTAATCTTGCTTTATCTTCAATCAAAGCCACCTGAGATATCAAAAGCAAAGAACATTAGATCAAATCAAATTGAGAAACATGAACTTATTATTTGAGGAATTGAAGTTGAGAAAGATGAGACTGATTACTTGAGGAGAATCAGGAGGTTGGACAGGTTGAAGAAAGGAAGAGACTTGTGAAGTGAGGAGAACCAAGAGAAGAAGAAGATGAAGAAGAAGGGAAGGTTTGTGAAAAGCAAACATATTGATGTGAATTAAAGAATTACCATAGAGCTACAGGAGGAAACTTCATGTGGGTCTATAGAAAATTCAAGACTTTGTAAACAGAGAGAGAAGAAGAAGTAGAAGAAGAAGAGTTTGGGATCAGAAGTGAGTTAGGGGGGGGGGAGAGAGAGAGATAAGGGAGGGAGGGGTAAAATGGTAAAAGGGAAAAGGAGAGTGAAAGGAACAAGACAGAGTGGGGGAGACAGAATAGGAGGAGGATTCATATTAGAGAGAGGAGAGTAGCCTTCATTTCTATGTGTCACTTCAATCTTTCTTCTCTTTTTTATTCTTTTCTTTGTTATATCTCTTTGCATTGTTCATTAGTTTTGAGTTTTCTGACCAGCTTGTATTGTATTGATACAAGAACAAACACATGTACTGTTTTGTATTTTGATTTTTTATTTATTTATTGGAGTAGTAGTAAGAAACCGGATTACATGAATACATCCTTGAGATACATTGCAAATTAACATGCTTTGATAAGACCAAAGATGTTTGGACTTAGTTAATATGCTTCTCTTTTTAGGTATACAAGTTAAATGCTGGATGGTTCCAAACTCAATACTAAAGCTAGCTTTCCCAATAATCCAAAATGTTGTTGAGTGGAGTGTTCAATGGTAAGTATCTATATATTTACTGACACATCAAAATTGGGGGGTTTCCTTTTATCATGAGATAATAGTCAAACGAATAGGGAAATTACTGAGTAGTAGTAATAGTAGTAAAAAGTTTGACTGAGTTTTTGATTACTGAACAAAATGAGAAGAAGAGGTAAAAATGAGCAATAAATGAAGAAGAAGAAGAAGGATGACACATTATTATATCAAATTTTGACTGCATTCATTAAATAATGTTGAACAATCTTTATTCACTAAATGTTGAGTTTTTTCTTAATATTATTGCATAATCCTCCAATGTCTGTCTCTTTCTGCTGCTGTTTTCCAACAAGTATCGTTTTCTCCTTCTTTAATACGGTTTATACCATTGCGTATGTACAAGTACTTTCTGTGACATTTTTATCATTTTTAGAAAAAAATTACTTCTTCTGAAAGCAATGATTCTTTTTTTTTTTTGGTTTGAATGAAAAAGTACAGTACAAGTAACCTAACCACTCAGGATGATTTAATTTACTTTTATACCGAATTAGCTGAGTGTGTTTCAATAGACATGATAATTGAAAGGAGTCCATTTTGGAATGATGGTTCATGGACCAGTGATGACTACTGATGGATCATTTACTACTACTACCAAATTATGAAGATGAATTTTGGTTGCAAATATTAAGTGTTGAAACACATGCTATTTCTTTTTTTATATATTTTGGTGCATCGAATAATACTATTATGTTTATTTATAATATATATACACCTAAACCCGTGAAATTTGGAACATACACATATTTTTCTGTCGTCTTTTTGTTTTGCAAAGTAAAAAAAAAAAGTAATAATATATGAATCAAAAAAATTGAAAAGAGTTTGGAAAATAAAGAATACACGAGAGGAAGGCTGTGAAACTAACATTCCGTGATGCCTTCAGTGACTATCTTTTTCCACGTTGCCTGATTTGTCGCCATTTCAACTTTTTCTTTTTCTTACAACATTTTATCACAAAAATTAAATAAAATGAAGTTAGAAAAATATATAAATTTTCAGAAAGAGAAGACTTTCACAGTAAGACAACGAGGTCGCCGGAAAAATAATTAAAAAACACTGGAAATATTAGTTATGGGTTTAATTATAAAAGAGTCAATGGCAGTAGTCAAAAAAAAAAAAGGAGAGTCAAGGGGTTTTGTCTCTTTTTGATTATGTCGGTCCCAAGTCTTCTACTCTATTTGTCCTTTTCAACGGCTCAGATGTGATCAGAACTATATATCCTACGGTCTAATGGTGTTTCGTCACTTATTCTTGTCTCGGCCAAGGATACAACAATAATTAAAAATTCCGGTTTAATCCGGTATAAGACATTAACTAAATCCCGGTTTGGTTTTACCGTTGAGCTGCAGCTCGGTATGCTTCTTCGTCTGAGATAACCGCCGGAATGTTCCATGTTCCCATCGGATGACCAGATGTTTTCCCACCTGATCAAACTCCTTTTCATGTTACAAGTCACAAGAACATTCATACAAACGATTTTTCGAAAAAGATAGATAAATTGTAAAAGAGTTTGGTACCTTCTCTAGTAGCATCTTCGCATCTTCTTTGGTAATTTGAAGACAAATGTGGATCCAGTGATTTCATTATCTCTTCATACTTCTCTTCAGCTTCAGATATCCGCTTTGCCTGTTAAAAACAAAAAAACCATTTGAGTTATTTTGATACATTTTTTCAGAGAGAAACGTTTTGATTGATTGCCCTATTAAAACGTATCTTTTACCAGTTCAGTGGGGGCATTCGCTGAGCCGAATATTCCCACAAACATACGTAATACATTGAAACTGTTCTCAAGCACATCGTCCTACGTTGGAAACCAGATCAAGTCTCATCAGTAAAGATGGTTAATGACTGGCCTGGCACATGGAGTTCTTAGAAGAAGGTTTCCTAACCTCGTAATCGAACCTGCAAAAGTAAAGTTGAAAACCCCACTCAGATTCTGAAATATTTTGTAACCATTTGTGTTTGTGGTAAGATGGAGAGGTTTTAAAAGAAGCTTACAGATCATCTGCTACTTCCACCAGGAATTCTGAAATTGACAAGAAGTCCATATGCAGCTCATTCACCTTTTCCAAAGTTCCAAACAAAGAAGAGATTACATGTTACAATTACAATTTCAATCTACAAGTGGAATTCTTGGATTTGTTATGACTTCTCATTAAAACGAAAACAAGGCACGTCATAATTGAATACTACCCCTTCTCCTCTCAACTTGTATAATAGAAGATTCAACACCCTGTAGTCAAAAGACTTCAAATGGATTGCTCTCATCACATCTTCAAGACAGATCTACAAAGATATAGATGAACCAGTGAGCATGAGAAAAACGATATCAGCACACTTGTTTGACAACAATAAACTGTACCAGTCACCTTGTTTTTTTTTGACAGAGCATGACAAAGCTTTCTTTCTAACGCCCAATACTCCTCACCCGACTTAAACTCTTGCTGTATTCTAACCCATGTAACAAATTGACAAAGATGAGTGTATATATATGTTTGTGCCTTTCCTAATATAACAGTAAGAAGAAAAGGAGAAGTTATAGCAAGAAAATAGAAGTATACCTTTCTGTCAAAAGACCCTCACGCTCAAGCAGATCTTCAAGCGGCTTTAGTGGATTTGCTTCAATCAAAACTCGTGATTCAGCATTCCATCCATGACTTGAACACTGTATCTCAAACCATTAGGTTGTAAACTGATTTTTGTGATTACCATACTCTTTAACTATTAGACATGCCATCTTACAGTGACTTGGGATGCACAAGCTGATTCATTGACTATCTTCTCATTAAGAGCATCAATCTGCAGAAACAAAAGACCTGCATTTCTTAGATTCAGATTACATTGTCATTGGTTCCGTGCACGTTAACTCAACAAAGAAAATCTTACAGACATGTAGACAAAAACAACAGAAGTGCACAAATTATTACCTGATATATGTAACTCTCTGTGAATGAAAGTACGGGTAAAAATCTGAATATTGACTGTGGTTCGTTAATATCCAACCGATGGAACATGAAATAAGACCTGGACTGCAACAGGATATGGACAGTTACAAACACAATAAAATCAGAAATCGTGAGAGGGAAAGCTTGCATAATTCAGAAGACATGTTCATTCTTCCTGTATCTTCCTTTATCTATGATTAGCTAATTCAACTAGTCAAGACAGAGGATAGCAATGCATTTATGTAAGATGGAAAAACTTACGAAATCCTCAAGTGTAGAGTTTGCTCTTTTCATTGCATCTAGCCCGACCATTGCCACGACTTGTTGGTGTTTCTGTGATGTGTAAAGATCAGCATTGTCCATGACACTTCTCTTCACATTACTCTTTGGGGACTCTGCTGCATCCAAATTGAACAATCACCCGATTAAACATACCATCATATTACAAGGATTTGCAGAGGGACAGTGACTAAAGTCACTCAACTAAAACGAAAGATAGTAACTAGAAAGGGATTAATTACTAGAACAAGAGCTTGTTTTGACTGGTTTAGCTTCATCGTCTCGCTCAAGTGACTTGGATATCTCTTCTAGGAAAGGTCCTGAGATCTACACGTAATGAAAGTAACACACTTTGGAAGAGGTTCATGGATAACAGAAAAAAAAAAATCTAGCTTTACTTACTTTTGGGAGGAATTCAGAGACTAGAGCCAGTTTCGAATCAACATCGAGTTCGCCACATGGTTGTGCCTTGGAAGAAGAATGAAATTTAGATTCTTTCACGGGGAAATCTCAGAGTGTAAGAACTAGAATTGCATATCGTTTACCAGGAAAAGGACGAGATTGGAGAGGAAGCGAGAAGAAGTTGAATCGGAGGCTGAAGAAGAAGAAGAAGAAGAAAGTAAACCGTGAGAAGTGACGGCTGATACAACGCTCTGAAACTTCTCCAATCGCCTTAGCTCTTCCATCAAAACAAAAATTGAACTTTACAAAATCGATTCTGACTCGTGCAAGTCGTTGTTTTTGTAACATTCAACTTTCAATTTCGTTCAACAAAAAGGAAATAGCTTATTACGATATGATTTCCTTTACTTTTTTTTTTGGTTTAAGATAGTAAGATATACATAAAAAAAAAAAAAAACAAGAAAATTATATATTTCGTTTAATGTGATGTCATACTTTTCCTTTTTTCTTTCTTTCCCGGTTCCTAGTTGGAATGGGAAGTAGAGTATATAAAACCATATGGCCTCTCCTCTTTTCTTCATCATTCAGAATTCAGACAGAGACAAGTATGGATGAAGAGTTGCTACCACACGATGTGATAGAGTATCATATCCTGGAGAGGCTTGATGTTAAAACCCTCCTCAAGTTCAAGTCTGTATCTAAGCAATGGAGATCTACAATCCAATCCCCTCGTTTCCAACAAAGACAGTTGATCCGCCATCGTAGCCTATCAGGAGATCCACTTGTGCTTTTGGTGTCCTCAATTGATCCTTGTGCTCACCAACCCGATCCAACAAGCTCTGAAGCTCTGAGAACGTTGGTGGTGCGGTCAACACTTCCGGTTTCGGTTCAGATCCCTACTCCTTGGGAGGACAAGTCATACGAAGTTTGCAATACTAGTTGTGATGGTCTGATATGCCTCTACGATTCCTTTGAACTACTACCCAATATCGTCGTCAATCCCACCACTCGCTGGCATCGAACGTTCCCTGAATGTAACTATCAGCTATTCGCTGCAGAGAAGGCCGAGAGAGACGAGTGGTTTGAAGTCCCATACCCTTCTCCTGGATTTGGTAAAGACAAAATCAGTGGCACATACAAGCCTGTTTGGTTGTATAACTCCGCCCAGTTAGGCCTAAACGACGAGGCTAGTACTTGTGAAGTTTTTGATTTTGCCACCAACGCTTGGAGGTACGTTGTCCCTGCGTCCCCTCGTCTGATTTGTCACTACCAAGATCCTGTTTATGTAGATGGGTCTCTTCATTGGTTCACTGCCTTCTCGCAAGAGGGCGAAACCACGGTTTTGTCTTTGGATCTTCACACCGAAACTTTCCAAGTCATCTCTAAAGCTCCCTTTCTCCATGTCTTTGATGAATTCAAGATCTTCATGTGCAACCTCGATGGTCGTTTGTGCGTATCCGAGGAAAAGGGGCCCAGCCAAGTCATTTGGTCGTTGGATGATTCAGACCACCAGAAATGGAATAAATTATATTCCATAGATCTCACTATCACTTCGAATTTGTTTCCCCCGCACGTGAAGGCACTCGCACCTCTGGCTGTTTTGGACAAGGACAAGTTATTGTTCTATGATCGTGAATCTGAGGTTGCCTTGGTAACACATGATCCCAAAGCCAAATCTTATGATTTTGCTTACACATCTAAACTCTCTGCATACGGTGTTTGTTATTTCCCGAGTTTATTCTCTATTTTGTAAACGTTATTATTTGCTTAAACATTTTTAGTTTCTAATTATTTCCTCAACTGGATCTACTAATGTTTATATTTCGACGGCATGCTAGAGGCTGGTTACGCTACATTCATCTTCTTATATGGTGTTGTTTCACAAAACGTCAAGATATCCCTCACGGTCAACTCTACTATAGTACTATGGCACATATAGGTTTTACGGGTGGTGCATGTGCATGTACCTGGGTCATGGATAAATATTTTGGATGAAAGGAAACAATAACAAAGATACAAACTTCTAATCATATCCAAAGAAAAGAAAAAAAAGCTTATAATATATCATCCTTACATGTTTGATTCAAGAAAAGCAAAGTCATATTCATAATTAAAGTTCGAAATGGAGGGATGACCTCTATTCTCTAGGCATCATATCTATCCTAGTTATTCTTCTTCTTTGGTTCTTATTCCGGTAAGGTTTCTACTGGTAAGGCATGAACCGCATTGGCCTTCTGAACCTAGGAGCCTTCCTGCATGCATGAGCCATTGTCGTATGAGACTAAGAAGAGAAAGCCATATGAGATATAATTAACCGTAACTATGCAGAATTTAAACTTACCCATATCCATATGGCGAATAAAAATAAGGGGGCACAAAGGGTCTGCGAAAGCGGTATCCCATTGAAGGGTTGAAACGCCCAGGATGATACTGTTTCATTCCAGGAACATTGGTTCGCTTAGGCGAGACCTAAATGAAAAACAGAAGAGAAGATTGAGATCAATGAACTATTCACTTAATTCATTATTGGACTTAGTACGAGAAGATACCTTCAGTTGACGACCATGTAGCTCTGATTCATTTAGTTGTAGAGCTTCTTGCACGGCTTCGACTTCAACAAACTCCACATAAGCAAATCCTTTCGGTTGTCCAAACTTATCCATCAGAATGGTTACCCGGTTGACTGTTCCGCATGTTTGGAAATGCAGTTGCACTTCTTCAGGTGTACAAGAATAATCGACCTGCAGGATGACAAATAAGGTTTCAATATAGCACACAAGCATTTATATTGCATCTAAAACCATGACTCACTCGGCACATAACAGATAAATAAGTTAACCACTTTGCTAAGTGAAGTCTAGCGACAAATTTAAGTGCCTTTTAAAGCAATCTTCCATGTCTAACATTAGACCTAAGATGTGTACTGAATAATAAGCGTCATGAGAATCTTAGTTTTAAGAGTGAGACAAAATACAAGATAACGCTAGAATCTAACTGCAGCCTCTCATGAAATCTGCAAAACAACCAAACCTGAATGAGCTCCAAGTATCTTCTCTCCAGACATCAGCTTTGGGTCTTGACTGGAAAGCATCCAGCATCTTGATTATGTTCTTCTTCACAAAGGCCACCTCCTCAAGAATTACAAAAATCTTGCTTTCTACTCCCACCCACCTCACTCATAATCCTTTTTTTACCATTTTTCAATCTCTCAAACTCATGCAATTTTTTTTCTCCACATTTTTTCTTTCAATATTTTTTTCTCTTTTTTACTTTCTCATTTTTTTTATAGCTTTTATCATCAAAATCTACAAAGACATTTTCCAACACTACAACAAGGAAATTATCAAGATAACCACAAATCCTAGTTGACAACCGAGAGATACTAAGAACTTGAGGTATGAGAACAACCCTGCGATTATATAGGACATAGAGTTAAACTATGATACTAGAGCTGCAAAGCATTCATAAGAGAAGCAACACTCAGGAAAAATTCAGGTTTAAATTCAACCAAACAAGGATAACAACATTAAAGTTAGAGAAACAAAATTCATACTGATTCTAAGGGTAATCTCAAGGGATAAAGAAAAAAGCTAATACAAGTTGAAAGCAGTTGGTTACTCAAAAGGAGAAAGATAACAAAATAGTCAGCCTAAGCTGATCCACAGCAAGATTCACAACATATCAAAGCCATGGCATTAAACAGAACGTTTAGATGAAACAATGATTCAAGCAAAAATAAAATAAAAAGTATCAGAAACAGTGAAGTAGAAAATAAGCATTCTTACATTGCCAACATAAACTGATCGAGCATCCACCTCCTCCTTTCCTTCTTGATTTGTAGCCATACTACTAGCAGGATCTGTGAAACAATTGCAAATAAGATGGCAAAAAGCACATAATATCAATATCGTAAAACTAAATCTAGACAACCAACAGAGTCCTAGTATATCGAATTCGAAGATAGTATCTCGAGCAAATCACACAGGAGCAAAGAAACGAACCTTGAGTAGCTGCCATATCACTTTCGACTTTTGCTTGCATCTCGCGCAGCGCAGCAGCTTCGTCCTCCATCTCCTTCAATCTCCTCTTCATCTCTTCAAGCTCCTGATACCAAACAAAATCAAAACACCCAAAAAAAATCAAAAAAAAAAAATATATACACACGACGAAAGACAAATTCAAATCAAACGAAACAGAAGCAGACCCGAACGGCGTCATCGTCGGTGGCAGACATATCGATATGAGCATCGGGAACATCTACCTCGCCGACTTCAGGGATTGCTCCGCCGTAAACCTCGTGCTCTTCTTCCTCCATTTTTTTTTTCTCCACTCTTCGTCGCCGAACGAAAACGACTTCTGCGTATCGATTTTTTTTTCCTACCGGATCCAGATTGTCGATTGCAAACAACGAAGACGGTTCGTCTCATAAATGGGCCTGGATAATAAAAGCCCACTAATATACATAACATTCTAATGGAGTCTGAAGGTTTGATCCAGATACCAAATCTTAAGATTTTGGCGTACACATCTGGAAAAGGTAATTTGTTATTTCTCGAGTTTAAATTTATATTGTAAATTTGATTATTTTTTTTGTTTCTTTTCGTTTTTCAAACTCATGCGTCTGAGTTCTGACACGTAAGCACAGTCAAAGAGCAAACAAGACTTGACCGCACTTGATCACTCACTGCGCGTAAAGTTGCTCGTCTTCCATCTTTCTTAACTTCACCATTGTTGAAAACAGAGGAGTCGGGAGAAGATGGCGAGTGGAGGTGGATACGGAGACCCGTCTCAGAAGATTGACTACGTCTTCAAGCTGGTGCTGATCGGAGACTCGGGAGTTGGGAAATCTCAGATACTGTCTCGGTACGCGAGAAACGAGTTCAGCTTGGATTCCAAAGCAACCATCGGCGTCGAGTTTCAAACTCGTACTCTTGTTATGGACCATAAGAGTGTTAAAGCTCAGATCTGGGACACCGCTGGCCAAGAAAGGTAATCTCCACAACTTCCTAGAAATTTGCTTTTCCGCTTTCCATTTTGCAACAGTTGGATCCGCCGCTTGCTCCAACTTAGATCTCCTAGATTCGATTCAATTCTCCGAGACTTCAGATTCCAGATTCAAACTATTCGTGTTGCTCTCAGTCTGTGCGAAATTGATGTGAAACGTTGTCGTATAGGTATAGAGCGGTGACGAGTGCGTATTACAGAGGAGCGGTTGGGGCGATGCTGGTTTACGATGTGACTAGACAACAGACATTTGATCATATCCCACGGTGGCTTGAAGAATTGCGGAATCACGCAGACAAGAACATTGTGATTATACTTGTCGGGAACAAGTCTGATCTTGAAGATCAACGAGCGATTTCGATGGACGATGCTAAGGAATTCGCGGAGAAAGAAGGTCTCTTCTTCTTGGAGACATCGGCTCTAAACGCAGTCAACGTGGAGAGTGCTTTCTCCACTGTTTTGACTGAGATTTTCAACGTTGTCAACAAGAAAAGCCTTGCTGCTGATGAAGGACAAGGTGATGGTGATCCTGCATCGCTAGCTGGTAAGAAGATCGATATTGTTCCAGGTCCTGGTCAGGTGATTCCAACGAAGAATAGATGGTGTTGTAACACTTAGAGAGCAGCTCGATTCTATATCCACATTTCCGACGTTATAACTCAATCATGGGACATTTTGTATCGAGTTGGTTTTGATTCAAATAGTTAAGTTTCTCGAGTTACGGCCTCTATTTGTTTTCTGATATATAAGACGACACAAAGCTTTAGGAAAATTATTTTTAGGATGGGGAACAAATTACGTAAGATTGAATGACAATAGTAATCTCATTTTCGAACATACTAGATTATAAATTAGATTGAACATATCAAACAGGTACTAGGTTCAAAACTTTGATATAATAAAACAGGCAAGAAAGTTAACACAAAGCAGAAACCAAAAATAGCGTTCAAAATGGCGCTCTCATGTCTGTGGAGAGACTTAAATACGACGACCAGAAACAAACTAAAGAGAATGAAAATCTCTTAATCTTTGGGACGTTTAAGCAGCAACGGGCTTAGCAGGAGCAGAAGAGAGTCTAGACCTCTTCTTGGCCAAACTTTCACTGCGGCGATCACGCTGCTCCTTAAGTCTGGAGGCAAGAAGTTTCTGGTACTCTGCTGCATCAGAGTTAGCCTTGGCGATTCTCTTCTTCTTGTCAGCAATTCTAGCTCTCTTCCTCTGGAGAGTCAATGGAGTCACAAGCCTCTGGATCTTAGGAGCCTTGCTAACCTTCTTGCCTGCACATGCAAGAAACAGACTTTAGTACATCTTCAATCATATTATCAGTTTTCATATAACTCTAACAGTAATCTATTTTTTTTTCTCACCCTTCTTGTTTGTAAAGGTACGGCGGTACGTATTAACGTACTTCCTCACGTCATCCTCCTTTCCAAGGTTAAACAGCTTGCGGATCTTAGATGCCCTCTTGGGACCCCTCATCCTTGGCTTCTCAGTGTCAGTAAGCCCAGGGAGATCGCTTTCACCCTTCTTCACAATGACTAAGTTAAGAACAGAGAGGTCAGGACTCACGATGCAACCACGGACTGACTTCCTTCTCCTCTCACCGGTCCTCCTTCCGTGTCCTCTGAAACAAGGAGTACCTAATCACCCAAACAGGATTTTAAATAAATCAATAAAACGAAAGGTTAATGAAAAACATTAACTAATGAAGCTGTATAAGTTGTTCAATTAGGTTGAGTCAAGTACCTCTGTGAAGCAAAAGGCGGACACGCCCAGGTGTCAGAACTCCCTGTTTCATTGGGAAACCTTGCTTGTCACAACCTCCCATGATTTTGAATACGTATCCTTTGAATTCCTACAATTAGCTCACATACACACAATTCCATTAAGAAATGAAACCTCAGGAGACATTAAGAAAAAAAAATACTGAACTAAAGAAGAGAAATTGCACCTCTCCAAGAGCATCTCCGCTAACTTCCTGAGAGAGCCTCTTGTCGAAAAAGGCACGGCTGCATCGAATTTAGAAAATGAAACTAAGTATCTATACCCAAACCAGCTATGTCTATTCAGAACTAGATAACGAATATGTTCAGAACACATTGCAGAAAAGATCAGAGATTCCAATATTGCACCAAACTAGTGTTGCATCAGGCATAAACATACTCTTGTCGTGAGAAATATTAACTATCGTACGATTCTAAGGTTTGGAACGAATGAATCTTAAAAACTTCGAAGCAGATATTTCTCATTGTTCACTCAATCCAAAATCTATCACCGATCGCAGAACCTATAAGAAACTAAAATGTTACAGAAATGAATGAGCTTACAGCTTTTGGTCGTCATCGATCTCGAGCTTCTTCTGGCAACCAGTAGTCGGATTTGCGATGTTGAACTGCGACCCAAACAAAATTCGAATGAACAAAGGAATTAAACAACGCAGTGATTAAACACCAGAGGATCTAAGAGAAGAAAAAAGGTGGAGGAGCTACCTTCATCGTCTCCGATATATACTGCCACTACAACAGCCTGCTGCTACTGAAGATTGAAGATATAAAATGCTCTCGGAGCGGCTCAGCTAGGGTTTTGCGTGAAAGATGAAAGGGGCAACTTATAGGAGAACCAATTAACCAGATAGGTTTAATTTAAGTGGGCCTATAATTTTAAGGCCTCTTAAATAAATTTTGAGAGAATAGTTTTTTCATGATGGGCCTATAGGCCCGAGTATTAGTCTCTTTTAGTTTATTATGTTTATTTGCACAAATTAGAAAACTTTTTAATCATCTTTTTAATCAAGTTTTCTACATGATTTTATAAATGGAATTTAGTAAATAATTTTTGATTAAAATTAAATGCTTTGACTAAAATTTTAAATGATTTAATCATAATTAAAGAAAAATATTAATATTTTAAATATGAGTTTAACTGTTTAATACCTTGAAGATATACATATGAGATCATCATTCGTAGTTACATTATTTCTAATTCTAACTTCATTATTTTAAATAATCTATCATTTTTTTTTTTTTAACACTTCAACTCTTTATTAATTAGAAACGGAGACATCAATGTTTAAAGCAGAAGCTATATTAAAATAATCTATCATTATGATTAAAAAAAATTAAAGGAAATAATTAAGGGAATTAAATGAAAACTCAAAAAAATAGAAAACAAATCCGAAAGAAAAAAGGAAATAGGGTAAAGTGAAAAAGAAAGAGTAGAAGAAAAGTTTTTAAAATATATATCTCTCTCTCTCTATCAATCTTTTCAACTTCTCCGTTTCATTCTCTTTCGCTCTGCTAGTGAAACAAACACAAAACAAATACACCGAACAAAACAAAACTGGCATCAACCCATCATGAGGAGCTCTTTTCCTCCTTCCGACGGTGGAAGATCGGCGACTGATCGTCGTCTTCCGTCGTTTCCCTCATCCTCCACGAACCGTTGTAACTCTCACTCTCCACAGTTTTCTCCGCCGCTCAGCCACCGTCATACTCGGAACCAGCATCACTCTCAGTACCCTAAGCCCAATTTCCCGCCAAATTACAGTCGCGATCGGGCTCTGTCGCCGGGGTTCTCGTCTTCAGAGACTCGTATTAGGCCGAATTTTATCGTTCAGCTGCTTCACCCGAGGATTAACGCCGCCGCTAACAGTGACCCGAAGCTTTACTTTTCGGCTAAGAGACAAGAGATCAAGAGTCTCGCTTTGCTTTTTGAAATCCCGGAGGAATCTGTTCATCTGCCTCAGTTCGGTTGTGTCGCCGGAAGTTTCAGTTTTCGTCAGTGGGTCGATGCGCGCTCTGCAGTCGTGGCTCTTTGGGAATATCGTCTTCAAGGGAAACATGATTTTGTTCCTGAGCTGGTTCCCAATGTTGTTGTTCCTTCAGATATGGGCGAGCTTGAAGACAGGCTTCGTGATCTTTTCTCGGCTCATGTTCTTTCGCTTATTGAGAGTGGAGAAGGCGTCAGGAAGGTGAAAATTGAGATAGATGAGAAAACTCGTCAAGTTGAGTCCTTTTCGTCTAAAAGGGGTCTTCTTAAATTTGAGGTTTTTGAGAAAAAGAAGGCTGCAGAGGCGGAGAGAGATTTGGTTGTGAAGCGGCTTCAAGAATTCATGAATGCCATGAAGAGCATTGTGCGATTCCTCAAAGGAAAAGACGTGTACGAGTCTGATGGAGAAGAAGAAGATGTAGCCGTCTTTAGTTTGGAAGGGGCCTATGATTGGAGACGTATCCATAATTTGATTCGTAGGGAGTGTAGAAGGCTGGATGATGGACTGCCTATCTATGCCTACCGGCGGAATATTCTGAAGCGAATACATGGTGAACAGGTATCTCCATATATTCTCAAATTTGTGTCGATGCTGTTAGCTTAAATTCGTATGCACTTCTAGTTATCTTTGACTGTTTAAAACATTATCACAACAGCTTCAAGTGTTCATATTATGTGTATTGATTTGTGATTCAAGATCTTTGACTCTTGATTACAGAAAATCGTTCCTCAGGGTTCTGAGTTATACTATTGTCTTGTCGTAGTAGTTTCTGTTTTCTGCTAAGGTTCAGTATTTTACTATTTTATAATTGAATCTGTGTTTGTCATTTTGAGTGTGTAATAACTCATTTAAATTGTGTTTGCAGATTACGGTATTAATTGGAGAAACTGGTTCAGGGAAGAGCACTCAGTTGGTTCAGTTCCTTGCTGATTCTGGAGTTGCTGCTAGTGAGTCGATTGTTTGTACACAACCACGGAAAATTGCTGCCATGACATTGGCTGATCGGGTCAGAGAGGAAAGCAGTGGTTGTTATGAGGAAAATTATGTCCGTTGTACTCCAACTTTTTCTTCTACCGAGCAGATTAGTTCCAAAGTTGTATTCATGACAGATAATTGTCTGCTTCAACACTACATAAAAGATAGGAGTTTATCTGGCATTTCATGCGTTATTATTGATGAAGCCCATGAAAGAAGCTTAAATACAGACCTTCTTCTGGCATTGCTCAAGGAGTTGCTATGCACAAGGGTTGACCTAAGGCTTGTCATCATGTCTGCCACGGCCGATGCCTCCCAACTTTCAGACTATTTCTTCGGTTGTGGAAAATTTCTGGTCAATGGGAGGAACTATCCAGTGGATATTGTATATTCCCCTTGTGACACCGAGGAGACTTCTGTTGTTGGCGGCATTGCTCCATATGTTGCTGATGTTGTTAAGATGGCTGTGGAAATACATAAAACAGAGAAAGAGGGAACCATCCTTGCGTTCTTGACTTCCCAAGCAGAGGTAGAATGGGCATGTGAAAGGTTTATAGCTCCATCTGCAGTTGCTTTGCCTTTACATGGAAAGCTTTCCTTCGAAGAACAATATCGAGTTTTCCAGAACCATCCTGGGAGACGAAAAGTGATTTTTGCCACAAATATTGCAGAGACATCGCTGACTATTCCTGGCGTCAAGTATGTTATTGATTCCGGGATGGTAAAAGAGAGTAAATATGAACCTAGAACAGGTATGAGCATCCTCAAGGTGTGCTGGGTCAGTCAGAGTTCTGCTCGACAACGTGCTGGTCGTGCTGGAAGGACAGAACCTGGAAGATGTTACAGACTGTACTCACAAAATGATTTTGATTCAATGAATTTTAATCAGGAACCTGAAATTCGGAGGGTTCATCTTGGTGTAGCAATTTTGAGGATTCTTGCTCTGGGTATAGACAACATAGCAGATTTTGACTTTGTTGACGCGCCTGTCCCGGAAGCCATTGCAATGGCTGTCCAAAACCTTGTTCAGCTTGGCGCAGTAGTACAGAAAAATAGTGTTCTTGAATTAACACAGGAAGGGCATTGTTTAGTCAAGCTGGGTCTGGAGCCAAAGCTTGGGAAGTTAATTTTAAGCTGCTTTAGATACAGAATGGGCAAAGAGGGAATTGTTCTTGCTGCTGTCATGGCTAATGCTAGTAGCATATTTTGCAGAGTTGGTAACCTCGATGATAAGATGAAAGCTGATCGCCTAAAGGTATGATTCTGAGCTCCCTGTTAATTTTTTTCATGTTGTAATCTTTCCTGTTATGTTTACCTTTTTTTATTTAGCGGTTTAGTTCAAATGATTTTAGATATCCTCTACATATGTGAAAGGTTTGAACTTTTTAGTATTAGATCTTCTTACATCCGGTTAGAAGATATGTTCTGAAGTTTTTTTACTTTTGACATGTTCAAGGTGCAATTCTGCAATCATAATGGAGACCTGTTCACTCTTCTTTCGGTGTACAAAGAATGGGCATCTCTGCCACGAGAGAGAAGAAATAAATGGTGCTGGGAAAATAGCCTGAATGCCAAATCAATGAGGAGATGTGAAGACACAGTCAAGGAATTGGAGATATGCATTGAGAGAGAACTTACTCTTGTCAGTCCTAGTTACTGGGTTTGGAATCCAAGTGAGGGTACTAAACACGACAAGCATTTGAAAATGGCTATACTTGCATCTCTTGCAGAAAATGTGGCGATGTATACTGGCTATGATCAGCTTGGATACGAGGTGGCGTTGACTGGTCAACAAGTTCAGTTACATCCAGCGTGTTCATTGCTAGCATTCGGCCAGAAGCCAAGCTGGGTTGTTTTTGGTGAACTTCTATCGATTGTGGACCAGTACTTGGTATGTGTAACTGCTATTGATTTTGAGGCTTTGTATACGCTTGATCCACCACCACCTTTTGATGCATCTCAGATGGATGAGCGGAGGCTCCGAGTGAAAAAAGTGGTTGGTTGTAGCAGCACTGTGCTAAAACGATTTTGTGGGAAATCTAATCGTAGTCTGCTTTCAATTGTTTCTCGTGCTAGGTCTCTTTGTAGGGATGAAAGGATTTGTATTCAAGTGGATGTTGATCAGAATGCAATTCTACTGTATGCGTCTCCACTCGACATGGAAAAAGTGTCAGCCCTTGTGAACGATGCATTGGAATGTGAAAAGAAATGGATGCGTAATGAATGTTTGGAGAAGTATCTATTTCATGGTCGGGGACAAGTACCTATTGCATTGTTTGGATCTGGTGCTCAGGTAAAGCATCTTGAAGTTGATCAGAGATTTTTGACAGTCGATGTACTTTGTTATGGCGACAATGTTGTTGATGATAGAGAGCTTCTGACTTTTTTGGAGAAGAGCATTGATGGGTGTATTTGCTCTATTCATAAGTTTGCTGCGAACAAACAAGACTGTGATGAGCAGGAGAAGTGGGGTAGACTAACCTTTCTAACTCCTGAATCTGCTATGAAGGCAACAGAAATTCAGAAATTTGATTTCAATGGATCAGTTCTTAAATTATTTCCCTCGCTGTCAACCAGTGGAGGAAATTTTAAGATGCCTTCTTTCCCGTCCGTGACAGCTAAGATTATCTGGCCGCGAAGGGAAAGCACTGGTAGAGGATGTCTTAAGTGTCCTTCCGGAGATATTCACAGTATACTTGGTGGGATCTCCGGCCTTGTGATAGGTACATGTTATGCCCATATTCAAAGAGATCACAAGTCCAATGATTCTATCTTGATAAGTGGGCTTGACAGTGATCTTTCGGAAGCAGAAGTTTTAGATGTTTTGGAGTTCACAACTGGGATTAAAGATCTTAAATTTTTCATATTCAGAAAAAATTGTGTGCAGTGTCCATCTCCTACTACTTGCGAGGAAGAGCTGTATAAGAGAATATTTGCGCATATGTCAGCAAGGAATCCAGAGCCAAACTGTGTCAAAGTTCAAGTTTTTGAACCAAGAGAAAAAGATTATTTCATGCGAGCATTAATTACTTTTGACGGGAGATTTCATTTGGAAGCTGCAAAAGCTTTGCAGGAGTTAAATGGAGAGGTACTAACTGGATGTCTTCCATGGCAGAAGATAAAGTGCGAACAATTGTTTCAGAGCTCCATAATCTGCTCTTCTTCTATCTACAACACTGTCAAAAGACAATTGAATGTTTTATTAGCAAGCTTTGAGAGACAACGAGGTAAACTTCCAAAACCATATTTGAGCTGTTTGCACTTAAATTTATATTACCTTTTGCCAAAAAGCAACCTTACTGTATTTGTCCGAGTCTGGTATTGTTAAGAACAATCATGACGTACGAGTTTTAATTTCGAGGCTACAGTTTCTAATTGTGTAGGGTATTTGAAGGATGCATAAGCCTAGTTGACCTATTTTTCTGGGTGAACTTGTCCAAAGTTTATAATGTGCATAAATGTTTTTTTATATTTGTGTAGGGGGTGATTGGCATCTGGAAGAAACTCATAACGGTGCTTATCGTGTTAAAATTTGTGCTTATGCAACAAGACCCATTGCAGAGATGCGGAAAGAACTTGAAGAACTCGTAAGAGGAAGACCCATAAACCATCCAGGCTTAACCCCTAGAGTCCTGCAGCATCTTATGTCCAGAGATGGTATTACTCTGATGCGGAAGATCCAACAGGAGACTGAAACTTACATTGTATTAGACAGGCATAATCTCACAATACGCATTTGTGGATCAAGTGAGAAAATTGCCGAGGCTGAACGAGAACTGGTTCAGTCACTTATGGCTTATCACGAGAGCAAGCAACTTGAAATCCATCTCCGAGGTCCTGATATCCGTCCTGACCTAATGAAGGAAGTTGTGAAGCGGTTTGGTCCCGAGCTCCAAGGTATCAAAGAAATGGTGCATGGTGTGGATCTGAAGCTCAATACCCGGTACCATGTTATTCAGGTTCATGGGAGCAAAGAAATGAGGCAAGAAGTACAAAAGATGGTCAACGAACTTGCACGAGATGAGAGTGCACTGGGTGAAAAACCAGATGACATTGAAGTTGAATGCCCGATTTGCTTGTCTGAAGTCGATGATGGCTATTCTCTTGAAGGATGTTCACACCTCTTCTGCAAAGCTTGTTTGTTGGAGCAATTTGAGGCATCGATGAGAAACTTTGACGCATTCCCAATACTTTGTTCTCACATTGACTGTGAAGCTCCAATAGTACTCGCTGATATGAGAGCTCTCTTATCACAACAGAAGCTCGATGAACTCTTCCGAGCATCCTTGTCCTTCTTTGTAACATCTAGTGATGGAAAGTTCCGGTTTTGCTCCACACCTGATTGCCCTTCCATCTACCGTGTAGCTGGATCTCAAGAATCCGGCGAACCATTCATCTGTGGAGCATGTAACGCAGAAACATGCACAAGGTGTCACCTCGAGTATCACCCTTTAATCACTTGTGAAAGGTACAAACAGTTCAAGGAAAATCCGGATTTGTCGCTAAAGGACTGGGCAAAAGGGAAGGATGTAAAGGAGTGTCCGATTTGCAAGTCCACGATAGAGAAATCTTTTGGGTGTAACCATCTGCAGTGCCGTTGTGGAAAGCACATTTGCTGGACCTGCTTAGACGTCTTTACTCACTCAGAACCTTGTTATGCCCATTTGAGGGCAGTTCATGGCGGAATTGGCTTGGGCGACGGCTTGGGCGAGGCTGGTGAAGACGTGGGTCTCGGCATCCCGTTTTTTGAGTTCGGTATTCCAATTGGTATCCCCAGGCCTTGAAACAGGACTAGACATGACCGGACCCATGTATCTATTATATTCTGTAAGATCTGGTTTGCTTCATGTGTACATAAGTCAACATAGCCTAGTTTGGTATTGTACCTTCTTTAATGCTAATTATATTAAGATCTTTGTTAATACAAAATAATTGGGGACTTGACTCGCTAGTGGCTGCATCACTGATAACGCGGAAATGTCAACAGAGAGTTTACCGGTAGCAAAGTTTTCCAAAATACAGAGGCATCGCCTTAATGGCGTTAATCACTTTCCGGAAATTTCCACCCACTTTCGAACCCCTAAAAAGGACAAATCCTCCAATTCATTTATTAGTCTTGTAGATTGTGATGTGTCTGTTCCCATCTCTGGAGTTTTTTATTCATGATGATCCACTTATTTTCTTCACGACGAATTCTTGGGGTCATGACTCTTGTCTTAGATTCTAACCCATTTTGTGGGTTCTAGGCTCCTATTTCTTCTCGCTTTCATCAGAGGAAAAAACTTAGAATTGTGCGCGAGACACATATGCCCCTGTTCTTGTTCTGTTTCTCTACTAGTTGTGTTGTGTCTGAGAATAAAGTACCCTGTGTTTGCTCTGTTTCTGTGTTCTATGAACTGCTATGATGGCGTTTAATCACAGAAAGATGCTTTTTCCATGTCTACATATTAAAGATTTAAATATTTGTTTCCAGCAATACTATCCGCCCCCGCCCCCGCCACCACCGCCACCACCGCGTCAGAGGGAGCTCTCTCTCCTACTCCCCACCTCTATCTGCGTCGCCGTCTCTGTCTTACTCTTCCTATTTCTCGCCATCTTCCTCTACCTCTACATCACGCAACAACGAAGGACCTCAGCCGCCACAGTAACTCCCGGTGACACAACCCGATGGGAAGACGAGGAAGAAACAGAGGAGGGAGAATTCTCGGACTTACATCACGTCTGGCAAATCCCCACCGTCGGTCTCCACCGTTCTGAGATCAACTCGATCACAGTCGTTGGATTCAAAAAGGGAGAAGGGATAATCGACGGCACAGAATGCTCCGTCTGCTTAAACGAGTTCGAAGAAGACGAATCGTTGAGATTGTTACCAAAGTGTAGCCACGCCTTTCACATCAATTGCATAGACACTTGGTTGCTCTCTCACAAGACCTGTCCTTTATGTCGTGCCTCCGCTCTTCTCACTGGGCCTCCTCCTCATCAAGAAACAGAGACAAATCATCAACCAGATTCTGAATCGAACAATGACCTCAGTGGAAGACAAGAGAGTTCTAGATCCAGAAACCATAATACTCTTCCAAGGGCACATAGCGATTTGGCAAACCATTGTGGATCGACAAGAGTAGAAAATGTGAGAAGATCATCTTCAATAGGAGGGAGCTTGTCACTATGCGATGTTACTAATACTGCTAGTAGAAGTGAAAGACAATTCCACACCAGTTTCAGTACTACTAACTTGTTCTCATCATCAAGAAGATCAAGGAACCAAGAACCAGGTCTCCCAGATAGAATGCCACCGCCTGCATCTGGTTATACCGCTTAAATGGAGACTACAATATTGGTTATGTAATGTTATCAAGTGTGCTTATTATATATACAGTATCTGAAATAAACTGAAACCTTGGACGTTTCAAGATTGTTTGATCAACAGGCATAAAACAAATATAAAAGATAAAACATTTCAAGAGGATTTAGGCGAATAAGTTATATATTAAACTTTCATTGGGATATTTCGTCGAACACGTTGACGACTGACTAAACAAAAGCACCTAACAACGAAAATTAGAAACGATCCAAGCACAAAGCTTATTACAAGAACCAATTAACTAAACGAAAATCAAATCCCAGAAAGCACCAAGCAAAAAGCTAGTAGAGCGCGTAACAACGAGTCTTCAAGCTCTTTCACCTCTGATTCTCCTCGCGAGCTGGATATCCTTAGGCATGATGGTGACCCTCTTAGCGTGGATCGCGCAAAGGTTAGTGTCTTCAAACAAACCAACCAAATAAGCCTCAGCCGCTTCCTGAAGAGCAGCGACTGCACTGCTCTGGAACCTCAGATCCGTCTTGAAATCCTGAGCAATCTCACGAACCAGACGCTGGAAAGGAAGCTTACGGATCAGAAGCTCAGTGCTCTTCTGGTACTTCCTGATCTCTCTCAAGGCAACGGTTCCTGGACGGAATCTGTGTGGCTTCTTGACACCTCCGGTGGCAGGAGCGGACTTCCGGGCAGCCTTGGTCGCGAGCTGCTTCCTTGGTGCTTTGCCTCCGGTGGATTTCCTAGCGGTTTGCTTCGTACGAGCCATTTCGAAATGAATCTAAAAGAGAACAAATGTTTCTTCTTCACGAGGTTTGTTGGATGTGAATAATGGTGAGTGAAGGATGAAGCGCAGAGGCGTGTTGGTTTTTATGGGAAGAGAGTGGCGGTGAGATGAAAATATTTGGAGGGAGTCAGACTTTTTTGTTTTTGGGGGGAGTTTACTTTCGTGTCCGTTGGATTAAAAAAGTACAAGCCACGGCTGAGATTATCAGTATCCGGATCCGTGTGATGCCTTTTCAACCAATTAAAAGAGTCTCAGAATTTTGTGTATCCGTGTGATTTATTGCTAACCAATTAAAACCATTTTTTCTAGCCACGTGGACTTTTTTGCGGGAAAACTATTTGAGTGTTTTAGGCGCCACACGAAAGAAAAAAAATTAGGATATGAGAACGGTTCCAATATTTTCAGTAGAAAAGTTTCAAATTAAGCAAATTTTTGCGTGGGAATTTTAAAAAAGATCATTTACTCTTTAATTGGTTGGTTAATGCCTTAATGGTTATGGAATATACGATCGCGTTTTTACTGTGCTATTGTTAAGTGTTAACTATCAAAATCACAAGAACAAAAAAAAATCATGATAACATTGATACCCAAAAAACAAATATCACAATGACATTCGATATTCTAATTGTAACAGTACAAACATACGAACAGAACATTCTCCAAATCCTCACACATAGTCAAATAATCATCACTCATAGGTCTCGGTGCTTTGCAAATGTGATCAGATTAAGATTTCCAAACTGGATTGAAAACTAGGCTTCCATGAAACTTGTGAAAAAGCAAGAATCCATTTGGACATTTCATTGACAATCAAGATGCAATTCTAAGTCAAAAGACTCAAAACTGGTAAATGGTACTACTCCAAAAGCGAAACTTAATCTTGAACTGGTAGAATTTGTGGATTGATATTCAAAAAATGAAAATAACAGTAGATTGATATTCATTGAGGAATTTCATCGAACATCTTGAGGACAAATCTAAGCATGATCACTAGAAAATGATAAAGGGACTGATTTACATATCCAAAGAAACCAAAGAAGCTAATCTATGACTAAACGACTACTCTTTTTCTTCTTTAGTCTCCTAAGCCCTCTCTCCTCTGATCCTCCTCGCAAGCTGAATATCCTTAGGCATGATAGTAACTCTCTTGGCGTGAATCGCGCAGAGGTTAGTATCCTCAAACAAACCAACCAAATAAGCCTCAGCCGCTTCCTGCAGAGCCGCGACTGCACTGCTCTGGAACCTCAGATCCGTTTTGAAATCTTGAGCAATCTCACGAACAAGACGCTGGAAAGGAAGCTTACGGATCAAAAGCTCAGTGCTCTTCTGGTACTTCCTAATCTCCCTCAAGGCAACGGTTCCTGGACGAAATCTGTGTGGCTTCTTCACTCCTCCGGTGGCTGGGGCTGATTTTCTCGCCGCTTTTGTAGCCAGTTGCTTCCTTGGAGCCTTTCCTCCGGTGGATTTGCGAGCTGTTTGCTTTGTACGAGCCATTTGGGAATTCCTTTACTAGTTTTGATTTCGATTAGCTGAGAGAATCTGAATTGAGATTATGCAGAGGCTGAGGTTGTAAAGTGTTTTTTTTTTTATACTCAAGTGAAGAGAAGAAGTGTTTAAGCTTGATCCGTTAGATCTTTTTGGCTATCAACGGTTACGATTATTTCTCTTGATGCGATCCGCGTCATATGTTAGTCAACCAATCAGAATAATTCCTCAGTTATTTCGTCATATGTTCGAAGATTTCGAATTACAAATAATTTTATATGTATGTTTACAATATTATATGCACAAGAAGAAGCCTTACATCAATTATTCACTCTTATAGATGATATAAGCTTGACTTGACCAATATCATCACAACGCAGTATTTATGAATATATATCATTCATGTTGACATTTAAAAAGTATTCTCATATACTGCTTGTCTTGTATCTTTGTGTGAGTTGAATTCGCTGGTACCTACTTGCTGCTGTGAAATCGAACCATATACTATGTCTACTGTTACAAAAGCACAGAAGAACTTTCTCAATACCCAAATCTTAAGTGATTTCTTTACATCTATGGTTGTATATTGATTTCATACATAACAAGTAACTTAAAAAAAAAAAACATCATTTATTGGAAATTAGGAATCATTAGAATATCTCAAATTGTCATGTGATTTGGTTACTTATTTGTTTTTTACTACCTATCTGACTAACTTTATTATTAGTTTCTAATCATTTTATCTATTTTAAAATGATTGATAAATTAAAAACATAGGAATTTAGATGTTATTTAGATGTGTTATTGTAATTGTCATAGCCAATAACTTATACTTCTCATAATCTATAATTAACTGGTTAAAGACAATATATGTATATCTATTCATTAAGTCCAATATTGGTATTTAACCCCTCAAAAAAAAAACAATATTAGTAAACTTATGCATTTACAATACAAATCAACTATGTATTAAAATAACATAGTGGTTGACAGACTTATTCATTAACAATACAAAAATCAACATTTTATTTTAAAATTACAGCAATTTTCATTAGCTGACTATAAACTCGTCATGTTTAATATATGTTTTATAAAGGATCGACGACTTTGGAATGATAGGAGGATAGATACAAAAATTAATAGGAACGAAAAGGAAAATTAATCAAATTTGGATGTCGACCAAAAAACAGATAAATAATAAATTGGGATGTTTCCTAAAGGAAACTCTCGTATATAAGTAAAGAAACAATGAAATAAAAGGAAAGTATAAGAAAAATGGAAAATGAATCAAACATTGGGTGGTTATAAAACACCAAACTCCAACCTCACAAAAACAAATTAGCTTCGTCGTTTTTACTTTCTTCCTGTACCTCCATCGTGAGAATGCAGGAACTCAAAGCACTCTTCATAGGAAAAGTCAAAGACAAAGCTTCTCTAGGGAAAGCAAGGTTGGTTCATAGTTTCAGCTCCAATTCCGTCAAAAACATTCACCTAGCGCTCTTGAAATCAACAACTCATACTTCCCACAAGCCACCAAACAGTGACTACGTCTCCGACGTTATCTCGTACTCTAACAGCCGTTATGCCCCGGCGGCTTTAGCAGCGGCTCTATGGAGGATACGTGTCACGAAGAACGCTTTCGTGGCCAATAAATCTCTGATCGTCTTACACAAGCTTATCAAATCATCAAGAGACAGGTTTGAAGGGCTCGATCATGGTTGGAACAAACTTAAACTGAGAGAGTTTTGGGACAAATCTTCAAGTCTAGCGCAAGAGTTGTCTCAATGGGTTAGATGGTAATTTACTTTTTCTTCTTCTTCTTATTTTTTTCCGTTAGTTTTCTTTTTAATCGATTGTGACATTTATCGACTTATTTGGACTTGTTCAATGCATATACTTGATCATACCGACATTGGTTTATTATGATATTTTATATATAAATTTATTTTTTTGATTCAGGTATGGACTATATTTGGATCATCTCTCGTGGATTTCGAAGGTATTAGGATCTTTTCCAAGTTTAATGGAGAGCTCAAAAGACAGAGCTAAAGAGAAAGATCGTGTTTCGTCCTACCAAACCGGGTATATTATGAGACAAACCGATTTCCTTGTATGTTTTTTTGAGCACATATGTACCAGACCGGAGATTCCACCTATGTTCCAAAACAAGATCGTGGACGAGATCAGAGAGCTCGTGATTCAAGACTACTTCACGGTTATGATATTGATCGTAGTACGGCTTCAAGTGTTGAGTGAAAGATTAATTAAACCGGGTGTCAAACCAGTTCGTGATTCCGGTTTGAAAGATTTGAGTCAGGTTTTGGGGAGACTTGAAGAATGCAAGGAGAGTTTGAGTGGGTTTTTTTGGCGTTACAGACGTCTGGCAGAAGATTTTTGGTGTTTGGTTGAGATGTTGAAGGCTGAAACGGTAACGGACAACAAGGAGATGGTTGAATTTGTCAGTTCGGTTCAGAACACGGTCAAGGACGATGAGGAGATGGTTGATTTGACCGGTTCAGTTCAGACCGAATGGGTAACATTCGACGACTCTGAGACAGCAACACGCGAGGTGGTAACATGGGATCCCGGATGGGTAACATTTGATGAATCCAACGGAATGACGAATGAGTCGGTCTGGTTGAGTCTGTGTACGTAACGTTTGATAGATGGTTTGGTTGGTCCAATAAGGTGAGGAAAGATCCGGTCTACACATGCATGGTAAGGCCGATGGCGTCTCACTATGAAAATATATATACAGTACATACCAACTAGCTCTATGGTTTAATTTGGTTTTTTGTCTTGGAATTGGTTGTGTCATTTTTTTGAATTGTGCTTGAATCCTTATTTTATAAAGACAGAAGGAGAAGAGTGATTCTGTATGTAAATACAACTTCTTATGACATTTATGAAGTGAACGTGTGGATAACTGGTTTGAATAACAAATACAAATCGGTTATTGCTTCGGTTTCGGTTTAGAAAACCGAACCAGATATTACATGTGAGATTGAAACGATAGGATAATGTCTTTTACTCAAATAAAGGCAATGAAAATACCAACTTCAGTTTCTTGCGTCAGGGACTGACCAATTCTGAATGCGCACACTTGCTTTATGTGCCTGCAATGTTTATTAAAACACACCGTACACATACAGTTACTTCGTATTTCCCCATATAGTATCCCTCTGGCTAAACCAAAGAGGTAACAAAACAAAACACACTAGCCATGACAGTTCAAAAATGACTACAATTTAAATGAAAATTATACTTTTGTAGTGTTCTTTTCTAGTTGTTACCTCATTATCCCAGTCGCATCTTGTAGTGATGATTATTAATATCATTGTTTGAATTGCGGTTCCAGCGAATATCATACCGGCCCATATTCCCTATCAACATTTCAAATGCATACACATATATTAGCTCATCTCCACAAATGTTATATATCAAACACTCCATATTTGCCGACATAAAATATTTGCCGACTGCATCACATTTTGTAACAACGTGGCAAACCTTAACTCCAAATTTGAACACCCAGCCCATAGTAAGCCCAAACGGAAGCCCGATAAGGTAGTAGCATCCCAAATTTATATATGCCACGTATGACTGCCAACCCGAACCAACCGCAACACCTTTAATCAAATAAAATATCAAAAGTCAACACACTTCTGTTGACCCGGTTTGTGAAAATAAAAGAGGCGTACCGGAAAGAACTGGCTGCACACTGTTGAGAAGAATAGTGAAGGCTAAGAGACCAGAAAGGCTATCGACTGCGTTTAGGACAGCTTCACTTGAAGAAAAGATGGAACCGATTTGGCCATGGAGAAATACGACCAACACAGTGAAGAATACTCCGATGGTCAACGATAGTGTGATGGACACAATCGTTGCAAACCTTGCTCCTTTGCCGTTACCAGCTCCTAGTTCGTTTGCCACTCTAACTCTGCAAAGCAATAATCATTATTTGTACGATAACTATATATAGACATTTATGTGCATATATATAATAGAGTCCCGAGTTTATATATGTTACCCGGTTCCCGCAAAGAATGCAAGTGGAAACATCATCTCCCAACTATTTACCGACATGCTGGCAACAACATAAAAAGGTTCAGTACGTTAACAGCTTAAAAATGTCTATTCTTCCGAAAAAATAGTAAAAAATTTCTCAATCAAACAAAATATTGGTGAGCATAAACGTACCATATGGATAAGGAGTCCACTGCAATTTTCGCATTGACTAGGTTTCCAGTCATCAAGATTAGTATTTTGTAGTACCAATTCTCTAAGCTATATCGGCAAAAAAATATTGTAAGAACTTGTTTTGGACTCATATAAGCCTAAACTAATACATAAACGATGTGAAAGAAATGGGACTTTTGTACGAATGGTACCAAAGCATGATTCCGGAAGAGACGGAAAGTTTTGTGAATTCCAAAAGTCCGGTGAAAGCTTCGGAAGAGAAGCCAGTCCAAGTCAGTGCACAGCCGCCACGTGTGCTGTACACAAATAAGATGACGATGTTCAACCACCAAGGCACGTTTACACTAGCCATGGTCCCTACGATTCCAAGTTTATACCCATACACGAAATACCAGCACACGAGAATATGAGCCGCAAGTGATACTCCAGCTGAAATTGCAATCACCTACTTAGACATAATGTAAAATGAGTAATCAAACACATTTATTTTTAATTGTACGTACGTATTTAGCTTCATGTGATCATGGAGGGGAGTGGGATATTATTTATTTTGTTGGTAATTTAATAATCAAAGACCACAAACTAGGAAACATATACCTTGTTCTTGAGCTGACATTGTAGGAATCGATTGAGAGGAAAAAAGAAGGCAAAGGCGAAGTGGACAGGAATGACGCAAAGGGCAATGGTCCCTGTGAGCTCCGCAATATCGTCACTCTGGCCAATAAACTTAAGGATTGGCGTCGCGAATAAGTACGTAGGAAGAAGCAAGATGCAACATAAGAATAGAATGATCCAATATCGCTGCATATATACTCCCAACATGTAATATTTCCTCGCCCCAAACGCTTGACCACATAACGTTTCCAACGCACTCGCCATCCCAAGCTGATCATGTATTAGAATATGTAAAACATCAATATAAACATTATCATACAATCCAGGAAAATGCTTTTAAGTGTGCACATACGAGTAAACCGTAGTTGAAGCCGAGTGTGAAGTTGTTGATAAGGGAGATGGCAGCGAGCTCAAGATCACCAAGATGGCCAGCGAAGGCTTGAGTAATGATGAGGATCGAGTAAGTAGCGAGTCCGGTAAACATGGACGGTCCAACAATATACCATAGTTTCTTGGTCTCGATCCATATTTCTCTCTTCAATCCTCCACATTCCTCTGCCGCATTCTGACCTCTCAGAAGAGGAATGGCTGCTTCTTCTTCTATTGCTTTAGCTTCGCCCTCTTTTTTATACATTTTCATAAATTGCTCGAGTATGAAAATATGGGAGTTGATCGAAATGAAAGATCACTTCGAAGATTTTCGAGTTAAGTAGTATTTTTTCTTGATAGCTAGCGGGTAAGTAGCAATAAATATTATTTAATTTTCTTTAGTACCTCTTTTTCATTCAATTTCTTAGCTAACTATTTAAAGGTTTATATGGTTTAGGACATCATGATGCCATGGATTACACAACTACTTGTTTTTCTATCGCATATGTAAAGATTAATTTATAACAGTAAATTTATATATATTTTTTGTTGATTAATAAACTGATTGTTGTAAAAAAAAAATAAAAAAATTAAAGTGCATATTAGAATCGAGATGTTAAAACGAAGGTAGTTGTTAATCACCAGAAGTAAAGAAACATTTCACAATATCCAAAACCAAAGACATTGATAAATTTCTTGTAACGAATTAGTGTATTCTTCACTACCAAACGACATAAGACATAACGAGAAAACACCGAAAGATGTACCAAATCATAAAATTGCTTGCCAATATCATTGATTAGGCTGTGTACTTAGTTGGCCATATCGAACTAATGGACTTTTTTTTTTTTTTAATGTTGTCCACATGACTGTTATTTTTAGTAATTTATTTTTATTGAGTCATCTTTCATTTGACAAATAACTACACACATTACGTCAACTTAATATATTTTGATCTGAAGCAAAGCAACACCATGAGTTCTATTATAATTCCTGATCCTAAACATAATTTTCTTGGACTGAACTGCAAAAGCGATCCGTAAGATTATGTTTAGACGAAAGAATAATGAAATATTTTTAGCGTTGAATTTACATAAACAGATTCACATATGAATCCCCTTCACATACCAATAGCAAATTACACGTGTCATCATTCCATTAGTCTCCACCAAGATAATAATTACTTTTCCACGTTCCGACATACCGAAAGCATAATAACCAAAAAAAAAAAAAAATTAACGATGAAATTGTGAAATACGAAAATATAAATCAAATTCTCCACATAACACCAAAGATTTTAAATAATTGAGGGAAAATGTAAATGAAAAAAAAAAGAGGTTCTCAAGCCAAAACGGCGGCGTAGACAATAGCGGCGAAGGCGGTTCCGGCGAAGAAAGCCTTGTTGGAGAAAGCGGCGCTTGGGGCAGCAGCTGCATCTGAAGGTCCTGGAGCACTGCTTGGGCTCGCGGTGGGACCTTCCGGTGCTGGTGGAGAGGCGGTGGGAACATCAGCCGGAGAAGGAGCAGCAGACGGTGGGGTAGTAGCCGGAGCTGGGGTTGCGGCAGGTGGTGGGGTGGTGGTTGGGGCTGGGGTTGCTGCTGGTGGTGGGGTGGCGACTGGAGGAGGAGTTGCTACCGGAGGAGGAGTTGCGGGAGGAGGAGTAGCGGCCGGGGGTGGAGGAGTTGCGGTGGGAGTAGGAGCAGGGGCCTGAGCAAGAGCTGAAGTGGCGAATAGAGCCAACATCAAGAAAACTTGGACGATCTTGGAACCCATATCTCCTTTTCTCTCTGTTTCTTCTTGTAGAATGCTTCTTCTTCTTGAGGTTTTAGAGTGAGAGAGAGAGAGATTATGAGATAATGAGAGAATTGTGAAGGTGAAGGAGAAATGGAAGACATGTATAAAAAGGAGCAAAATTTGTGATAATTATATTTCGACTTAATTAAACAAGATTCCTAAAAATCTTTTTTATTGTATAATAATTTAATTAAAGAAAATTTTTGCAGACTAACATGCAAACGCATAATTGGAACATGGGGTTGCCTATCTCCCATCTACTCTCCGAGTCCGAGGCCTATGCATTAGAAAATTCTCTTTTTTATTTTTATTTATTTATTTAAGTTAGATGTTTAATTCAATGTTTTATGATGAGTAATGAGCATACAGATACTGTAAATTGTAAAAGGTAAAATTGATTTACAAATGGAAGTTTTAAACATAAAAATTGATTAGGCGGATGAACTTTTGAACATCTTGGTCTTGGTGGAGTATAATTATATTGACTTTCCTTAATATACAAGCCACAATCATGAAAATTAACGTTAGCTTAAGAGAAGACGTTAATTATGATTAGGTGAATAAACTTTGGACTTATTGAGCTGTGATTGGGTGGTGAATTATATAATTGGAGAGAGAGAATCCGATAGATATACATATTTGTTGTAAAATGATAATATAGAAAACTAGTATCACTACGTTAGGCGCAAAACTATTAAGGCTATAGAGAGAAGAGAGAAGACAATAGCAAATGTGGGGGAGGGAGAGACAGCTAACATGTTCAGTTCCAAGAACCAAAGAGGTTGCAACTTCGCATGTCTTTCTGTCTTCTTTGATCTACCAGTTGTTTATTAGTTTATAATTCGTTTAAGACCTTCTTTTCATTGCTAGCTAGCTATTATATATTATAGTAAAGAAATGTGAAGAAAATTAAATTTGTGATGATGATTAAAACCATGTGCCTGACCCTGATAGATGGATCATTTGGATTATGGATTATACTATATTATTGGTGTTGTTACCGTTGGACATTTGCTAATATATCCGTTGGAAAGAGCTGTCAGTGAGAATTTATATGGTAGCAGCAAGCAAAAAGATATATATGTATAAAATAAGACTTTGTGGTAGATAGCCTGTAAAGGCTATGTCGACAGTGGTGGATTCAGATGGTAAGGTAAGGTAAGGTAAGGTAGGCCTGGGCATATTAACCGTATCCGAAATCCGAACCCGAACCCGACCCGAAGTAGGCAGTTCGGTTCGGATATGGATAGTGGGTAATATCCGATCGGATTTAGTTTTCATAAAAATCGGATATCCGATCGGGTTCGGGTATTATCCGAGTCCAAACGGATACCCGTACTTATCCGATCATAAATAGATTATATATCTTTAAATTTTTAAATCTTTAAATATTTAATTGAATTTGAGGTTTGTGAAGTGTGGAACTAATGAAAGATGTTTTGTAAGATATTATTAGTTTTGTCTACTTGTTTATATCTTTAAGATTTTTGACTTAATCACTTTTACATTCAGTTTTACTCTTTCTTGTATTTAGGATTTCAACATTTTTTAGTATTTTTTCATTTTTTAGTATTTTTCATTCCGGAAAAAATTAAAAATTTCGGATATTTCTGTCTATTTTGAGTTTTTTTTTTCAATTTTGGATAAAAATCATCAAAATCTTTGGATATTCGGCGCCAAAATCATATTTCGGATATATCCGAAATTAACCAAACCCGAAAGCATCCGATCCGAACCCGACCCGAAATTATAAAATATCCGATCGGATTCTATATGTCTATATCCGAACATCCGAAGATCCGAACATCCGAACCCGAATCCGAACGGATATCCGAATGCCCAGGCTGGTAAGGTGTCTTTTTTTATAAAGATCTGTGTATGTATCTCTCTCTCTATCGAATGTTTATTACTTATTAGTGAATCATTCATAGGTGGCATTTTTATGGGCTATACGATGTGATATACCATCTATTCTTTCTCTAAACGATACGTACTATAACCACTTCAAAAATCTAATTAGCTAAAATGTTATTATTACTCCAAGTCTTCGTTTAAGGTACACAGATTGATACAAAGTCAGACACTACTTTTGAAAAATTTGTTGTTTGATGTGAAATGACATTCTCATAAATACTGTAGTATATAACACATTTTTGATTTATGAGCTTATAAATTTCATAAGCCGAAAAAAAACAAGGAATGTTTGTTGATTAATGAACTACCCGTATAGTGTTTGCCGATGAATGTACAATTTGTCTGACTTGTATCTTCGAACGTACGTACACGAGGATTTTAATGTATTCATGAACAACTTACAGCCGAATCATCATAATATCAGGTTATTATTGGTTTAGGACTAAACCAACCTTTAATCTCTGATTATATATCTCACTGGTTAGCTCGATCTCATTTTGGTCTTAATCTCTCGTCATATTTTGAATTACATTTTGTCAATAATACAATTATGAGGCTTAAACCGACACATTAAACAGAGGGGACCATGTACAGATTTTCTAACTTGGATTTTAATCTAATTGACCATTGTATTAGATTATATATAGAACACCCAACTTTAAAAAATGTTATGTTTTTGGGGAAGTAGTTTGAAGTTTGACTCAGAAATCTATTGGTTTATGAAAAGAAGAAGAAAATGAGAGAGTCTAAACTTGTTTACATTTTTGTCACAATTTATAGTTGAATGTCATCATATCTATAATCATGTTTGTGGAGTGATCTACAATTTACAAAAATACAAAAATATTATTTTCAGGTTGTAACTTTTGATAAAGAGCCTGTAATACAGATGGACAACAAATCCGCCACACCATCGAACGGGTTTTTTGATGGATCAAATCCTAATCTAAGACCAGGAAAATAACTGGGCTCATGGGCTAAATTAGAAAGCCCATTACTACAATTCGGACTATGTTTTTGATAGGGCTTTCGCAGTAAGAAAGTCGTTTTTTTCCCTGGCTCTCATATTTGGCGGGAACCGGCTGCGGAAGAAAACTCAATCCAACGAAGAAAATAGTAATCATCTTCATATTTATTTCTCTTAATCAGAAAAAAAAACTCTGCAATTTTTCTTTTGATTTTTTTTTTTTTGTTATCGGTTAAAATTTTAATCAGGACATTTAAAAAAGAGAGAAAATTAAGAAAGAGAAGTGAGGGAGGAAGAAACAGAAGAAGGAGAAAGAGGAGAAGGAGAATAAAGAGTCTTGAATGGTAAGACTACATTATTGGGTGTTTGTGAACATGAAGTTGACCCATCTCTCTCTATCATTTCACCAATCTTCTTCACTCTCTCCTGCATACACATACACACACACTCACTCAGATACAAAACAATACTGAAAACAAAACATATGAAAACAGACAAATAAAAACGTAAGAGCTTGAGCCCCTTTTCTTTGGTCCCTATGAGGACCCAAGTCACCTAGTTTCATTGTAAGTAATTGGAAACCATCAGATTTGGAGTGAGAAAAAACAAAACAAAACAAAACATTTTTACCAACATGTGAATGTGTCACGAGACTTCACAGCTGAGGACTATAATTGAGTTGGTCTTTTTTTGGTCTATACCCAAACTAGTTTTGGGGGATTCAAACAGGGGACATAAATAGACAACGTGCATTTATCTGTGTTTCATGACGTTTCCATATTCTTCACAATGTATGACACATTCAAACACCAATTTTGTAAATGAAAGAGACTTTTGGTGACTTTACTTACCTTTTCAAGGTGTGAGAAGAAAGTAGTGAAGGAGACTTTGTCATAGTGTAATGTGCTAAGTTCTCCAGAAACAGAAAGAGCAACTGCAGCAGCAATCTCTGAAGCTCTAAACTCCAAGAAGTCAATACCTGCCCACACATCACAATATTTTCACAACCACCATCAATCATTTTCAGCACTTAAGTCCATATGCAAAACTGAGGTTTCAAAAAACCAAACCCTAATGAAAAAGGATAGATCTTTCACCTTTGGTTGTACTGGCTATCACTTGTAGCGATCTGGATATCAGTCTGCTAGGTGGTTCTTGATCATAGCCATTGATCTTACTCAGGAAATATCTAATGTAAGAGCATGGAGTCACGGCTCGTAACCTCCATCTCAATACGTTCAACACCAAAAGTTCCATTCTTTGGATTGATTTAGGCTCAAATACAAAAAGGGGATCTCCAACCTATCAATGGCATCAATACTAGAATGTTAACTTTGGTTTTAAAACTACAAACTAGAGACAATGGGATATTATTAACAGAACCTGCAAATGTATTAAATCTGGAACTATGGTTTCGTCTATTTTGGCTGCCAATGACAAACAAGCCACAGCCAACAGTTGTACAGTCCAAGCTTTTCCACTCTACAGAAGAATCATAAATCTTTCAATCAATAACCAAAGAGACTATGTAATCTTAGGCCAGGGATGAGTTTATATGTGACTTACAGGCAAGTCATGAACAGATAAGAAACGATCCAAGTAGTTTGTTGCGAGACATATACACATTGGTCCAAATTTAAGCCCCTCACAAGCCTGTAATAATCATGGACACAAAGTTAATATTCAGATCAAAGATAAGGCAAGGCAAAGTCATGTCTTTTTCAGATCAAAGTCATCACATTATTGACTTGGTAAGAGAATTGAGTCAACCAACAGATAGAAAAAAAAAATCAAAAAATCAAAAAAAAATCTGACCTTCCAAATCCAATCAAGGGCTTGACGTCTGAGTGTCAAATCCAAATCCCCATTCCTCAGTCTCTTGAGGTAATCATCTCTGGGAGAGTGTTGTCTCTCTTTCTCAATCATCTCTAAAATGATGTCTTCGCTCTCCGGAGGGAAACCCATCTGAAAAATCAATGTCTCGAGAGCAGTAATCGAGACTGTGTCAACAAAATTGCTCTTCTCATCATCAAAATTGATGGTCTCTGTGGATAGGAGATTTGGTTCTACAAATTCTGCCATTGTGAAGCGTCAAAATTGTTGCTTTTTCGATTTATACAAAATTTTACTGTTACAGGATTTGGAGGAAAAAAATCCTTCTTATAGTTTTTAGAGATTGAACTGAAGAAAAGATTTTGGTCTCTGTTTCTTTTTTTTTTTTTTTAATGGATTTTTTTTGTTTTTGTTTTGTAGAATTTGCTTTGGGGTCAAAAAATATATAAAGAAAGAGAGAGGAGCTTTTAATATTTAAGGAAGAGAAGAAAATGTGATTTGTTTTTTTTTTTGGTAAGAGAAGAAATGTGAAGGAGAATAGAACAAAATATTGAAAATATGAGAAAATTCAAATCATACAATATATTATCATGGAAATAAATATTTTGTTCATAATATGTAAATTAATAAGGAAAATTTATGTGAAATGGGTCAATGGTTGCTCATTGTTTTTTATAGTTTAAGATCATATTGTATACAACTTAGATACCCATCTTTTATAGTCGGAAAATACTGCGAACCATTTTGTTTTCTAAACTAAAGTTATTCGTTGATAACTTTTCATGTTTTGAGCTTTATTATGTAAAGATTATTAGAGATGAAATCAGTGAGATGTAACTATAAACAAATCTAAATCTATATTAACAACAAAAATTGTGTTGACTATGCTATTCAAAGTTTAATTATGTAATTTGATTTTGGTATGTAAATTAAATTATATTGAATTACTTTTATGTATAATAAAAAAATATAATGAAAATAATGATAAAAAGGTACTAATTTAGATAGTAAATCGCTTTTGCAATTTTTAGTAGGTTTATCAACAAGTACTTTCCACTGAAAACAAATGGAAATGAATCATAAAAATGAGGTAGAGTTCTTATGCTTCTAAGTACTTACAATCATATGCTTCTAAGTACTTATAATCACATATCTAATCATCAGAATCTTACCAAGTCCAACCTTGGAGCTCGAGGCTACAATTTATTTAATGCATATCAAAAGTTTATTCTTATGTAATAACTAGGATATAGCATTAGACTCTTATCTCAAGTCTTAATGGTTTTTCAATTATTATCTTTTTCATTTGCTGAGTATTACTATATAATAGTTAAAAAAAGAAGTAGGTAAAAGCTTGATAAGAACTGATTCATTTCTTATGTTCTAAGTTGATAAGCTTGATAAGAACTGAAAAAGGAATACTCAGAACAAAAGAACTGAAAACCAAAAATTGAAGATAAGAGATCCCTAGTTTCCCAACAAAATAATACCACTACTTTTTGAAAAAGCCAGATACTAAATTCAAGATTTTACATCTTAAACCACATAAAAGTTTTAAATATGACAAACTTTATATAGTTTTGTAATGAACGTGGACTGGAATCACGTGTGAGCGAGCAAACTTTGGTTTTTACAGTATCTTTCTCTGAAAAGATTGGTGGGAGAAAAGAAAAGTTTGAAGTAAATTATATGAGAAAACAATTATAGTGTCCTCAGAAATCGACCAAAGACTCTGTTTCTATTTTTCTTTTATATATAGTTTCATGCATGCAATGCAGACAAAGTGGTCCAAGTACACTTTTGATGTTTTGCATCTCTTTGTGTAATGAGATTCGACTTCTTTTATACGTGTGTTCATGTCTTTGGTCGCACTCTTCCACAATTTATGTTGGACAAATTTCCTTGGTTTGACTGGATTTATTTAGTATTGGGTACGCAAAAAGATTTGACGTTTTATATTCACACCACCAACAACAGAAAACTACGAAGAGTTTTGGTTTCCATTTTTAACTAGAGGAGACAGTAGAAGGATCATAATTTAACCAGAGGAGTCTTAAGAAGAAAGAGGTTTTAAGGCTTGAGCAGAGTCGGGAGACAACAAATATCAAAGAGAAAAGAGGTTTAGTAGAGCAGATAAATCATCAAGCTGTGCACAATCATAATCATCATAAACACTTAAAAATATTTTCACAGTTTTCGAGTTGGGGATTTTGAGATGGATTTGACCTTGCGCATAACACTCTCCCCCTTCCTCTAAATCCTTAGGCCTCGTCCATCTGCTCCTGAATATAGAGTAGAAATAACTCAGCACACAAGGTTTTGTGGTTATTTCAGTTTTCAGATTGTTGTTCGATGTCTCTATATGATGCATCTGATTATATATATCAAGAGCAGTTCGATTTTTTGGTGAAAACTCTAATCACACTAAGATCAGATTTGAGATTTCTCACAGTGAAGGATAATTTGAATGGAGAGTAAAATATCGAGGTATGGCATAAAGATATGTGGGTACCTGCATATCGGAGGTCCAAAGGGTTAAATTGTCCCTCAGCAACTGCATTATGAGAGTGCTATCTTTGTAGGATTCCTCTCCCAGCGTGTCGAGCTCAGCTATGGCTTCTTCAAAAGCCTAAGATCGTGAATCCAGGATCAAAATTTAGAATGCGCCCACAACGACAAAAACTGCATTACTAAATCTCAAACAGAATGAGACATCAGTCCTAGTATCGGCAACAATCTTGCTCATTATAAGAGTCTGTGATTCTTAAAAAGAATAGGAATTTTATTAAAGAAAGCTGATTTATAACTAAGCACAATGGACCAAAGATCAGTTCCTTATCAAATAAAACATCTTAAGATAATAAGGTAAAACAGAAATAGTCAACCAGTGGTCAATCCTCTTAGTCAAAACATCAAGCAACCTCACTCAAAGTGATCCAAAATGAAACACAAGGGAATAAAGATTGCTTCTTTATCCAACAATACATCTTAAGAAAGATAGAGGTAAAACAAGACTATTCAACCAGTGGTCAATTCTCTTAGTCAAAACATCAAGTAAGAAACTGAAAAAAATTCAGGTCAATGAGTTATATGAGTTAACATAGGGAAAAAAGCACGAAACAGGAGAAAACTGTCCTAGAGAAAAACTCAGGTCAACGACTTATATACCATAGAAAGAAATAAAAGATGTTCTTGCTTGAGACTTAAGAAGTGAAAAAGAAACAAGAAGAGTAACCTGTTTAGCCATGTTACAAGCTTTGTCTGAAGAATTGAGAATCTCATAGTAGAACACTGAGAAATTCAGGGCCAGACCAAGCCTTATCGGATGAGTAGGCGCCATATCGGCAGCTGCGATATCCTATAAAAACATCACATCAAAAGAGGTACAAATCAATCTCCATCACAGTTTGAAATCAAATAAATAAGATAACAATGTGGAGAAGCAATTTTCACACTTAAAGACAACAAAAAAAGGACAGAAGAAACATAGCAATCTAGTTTCTCGAGATTTAATTAGCATAGTATGGTTCAATTCGAGGCTATTTCTAGATCAGGAACTAATTACTAGATTTGGAAGATATTACCAATAGAAGAAATCTTGGAAACAGAGTTAAACACAAAAACTATCAACCAAAACCAAAGTCAGATCGATTCCACAGATGAAACGAATTTGGAGAATTGAAATAACCTGAGCTGCTTTGTAAGCGAGCATGGTATCTTCAGCAGCAGTTTTCCTCTCATCTCCGGACTTGAACTCAGCCATGTAACGATGATAATCACCTTTCATCTTCAAGTAAAAGACCTTAGACTCACTCGCTCCAGCGGATGGGATGAGATGCGAGTCAAGGAGCTTAAGGATTCCAGAGCAGACGGAGGAAAGCTCACTCTCGACTTTAGATCTGTAATCCTTGACGAGCGACACGTGGTCTTCGTTCTTCCTGCTCTCTTCCTTCTGCTCAATCGAGGACACGATCCTCCAGGCGGCGCGTAGAGATCCGATCACGTTTTTGTAAGCAACTGAGAGGAGATTCCTCTCTTCAACGGTGAGCTCCTCAGCCGGAGTAGCGCCTGTGACTAGCTGTTCCATGAATTGAACCATCTCTTCGTAACGCTCCGCCTGCTCCGCCAGCTTCGCCATGTACACATACTGGTCTCTGCCTAATGTCGCCGCCATTAGAGAGAGAAAGAGATTTGTTTTTTATTTTGATTTTGATTTTTTTTGGGGAAATTTGAAAGAAAATGGAAAAAGGAAAGAGAGGAAGAAGAATAAAGGAAAAGAGTCAGGTGGGCTGATTATTATAAAAAAAAAAAAAATGTATTAAAACCCACGCGCGCTTGTGTTCACTTTTGAGTGTACGACATCGTCTGATGCGGTAGGCTATTGTAGAGCCAAGCGAGTGGAGTGTGTAGGCGCGTGGGAGTGTTGACAGGGTTTGGAGTTTGTGATAAGAGCGAGTGAATGGACGATAATAATTTTTTAGTGAGTCAGCTTCTAGTCACTTTTTAACTCAGAACTCCGGCGTGATAGTTGGGCTTTTTATTAGGTGTATTATGGGCCTTTTAAAGTCCATTACTTTACTAGTTTTTCATTATCAAGGGGTCAAAGTTTTATTTTTTGTGAAAAGGGGGTTTAAAAGTTATAATGTAGACCATATTCATAATTAAAAAATCAATTGTTAAAGAAAAAGTTAAAATGTAAAAATTAAAACCTTTTTTCTTATCTTAAAGAAAAATAAAGGAACAATACTAATTAATAGTACTAGACAGTAATTGCGTAATAATGTGTTAATAAATATTTATTTAATTAAAAAATATCACTTATAGTAAAAGGAGTATCCATTAAATAATTTTTGAAGATCTAAAACTGTTTATACTAAAAATATAAAAAGATTAAAGTAAATATTTAAAATTAATTAATCAAATCTATAATTAAAATGGAAATCCATAGGTTACTTATTAGTCGTGTCGAAATAGGAAAAATAAAAAAAGACAATAATGTGCGAGTGATGGCATTGGTTCAAAAAGCTGACTTTTATGTGGTCAACCCTCGACACATGTACAAAATGTGGTTTTGTTTTGTTTGCATCGACGGTTGGGAACAAGCTCCGTCTAGGCCGTTATGGTAAGAGCTCGTCTACTTTGGCCACGTCGCGAAAGCGTTAATCTCTGTCACCAACTTACCGTTAATTGACGTCCCAAATTTAACGCCACTGTTCTCCAGTAAATAATTAAAAAAGGAACTCAACTTTTTTTTTGTCTTTTTATTTTTATTTTTTGGTGACAGAGGAGAAGACGATCTTCATTGTTTTTCCTCTCTTTTAAGACTGCAACTTTGTCTTCCCTTGTTCATTTCTTAATGATAAAAATTGCCTGTAAAAAACCGACCTTTTTATTTCGTCTCCGTAATTGCAAGATTGACTTAGTTTG